AAAAGCAGAGCTTGCACACACTGCCCAATGTAACACTTGGATCATGTCTCATGCCTTTTTTTGCCTCCAATTCACGTTGTACCATGCATTAAAGCAAAGCTGCCAAAGCAAACTTCCTTTCCCTTTTAAATCTCTGCAAGTGTGGAGCCCAGAACTGTGTAAAACCATGGATTCATGGTGCAACACTGCCACATGCTGGTAGCAAAGCAGTTTTATTTCTGCAACTGCTGGAAAAAATAACAAGGTGAAATTCCCACATCAACAGATTGAGCAAAAAAGCCTCCTTGCGACCATAAAGTTGTACCATCAGGAGAAATTCCACCCTCAGGGTGCTGTTATGCTTTCTCTCAATTATTCTCAATTTCTTTGCATATAATGAAACCAAACTACACTGATGCTGACAATCTGAACTGGGAAGAGAAAATGATGCAAATACTTAGCTGCTCAGGTAGTATCAACAGAGTAGGAATCAGTGTTAATACTTCAGGTCAATGACCTTTCACTGTACATTACACAGCTGGTAAACAGACTGTGCTGGATGCATATCACTTCACAAGACCAGCAGCATTACTGTGAAGTACAGCAAGCGAAGCAAATGGAACTTATTTCTTCTTTATTTGTTGCAGTTACAACATTGGTATCTATCCAACAATATGGCTGTGTCCTGTCCACAAAAAAACAGGACAAACCTACCCAGCCAATTTTTTTTTTAAATTCACCGGTGAGACATGTGCTCAGCTGGCTGGGCCAGCATTTATTGCCCATCCCTAGATGGTGGTGAGCTGCCGTCTTGAACTGCTATAGTCCAATTATTGCCCTATCGGTGTACTCTTGATGACGAGCAAAGTGCCAGAAGGGGTCATGACCAGGTGATCAGGAGGCAATTGCAAAATAATGAGCTGCTCACTGATGCACATCTGTGGTTCCATCAGAACTACTCGGCTCCTGAGCTAATTACACCCTTGGTCTAAACACAGAGTCATACAGTATTGAAACAGATCCTTCAATCCAATTAGCCCATGCAGACCATATTCCCAAACTAAACTAGACCAACCTTTTGCCCATATCCCTCCAAATCTTTCCTAGTCATGAACTTAGCCAAATGTCTTTTAAATTTTGTAACTGTACCCGCATCCACCATTCCTCAGTCAGTCCATTCCACGCACGAACCACTTTTTGTGTAAAAAAGTTGTCCCTCATGTCATTTTGAAATCTTTCTCCTCTTGCCTTAAAAATATGCTCCCTATTTTTGAGCTCCCCTACTTAGGGAAAAGACCCTTGTAATTCACCTTATCTATGCCCCTCAAGATTTTATAAACCTCAATAAGGTCACCCCTCAACCTCCTATGCTCCAGTGAAAGAAGTGCCAGCCTTTCCAGTCTCTTTTTATATCTCAAACCCTTCGGAATTGTTTTTATGCCGAAAGGCAAAGTCTTCTTCAGGCAGTAAAGAGTTAGTTTCTCTGGTAACAAATGTTTACAATGAAGCATAAAGATTTACGTCACCTTTCTAAGAGTTTAAAGGTCTCAAAAACCTCTGTAATGTGTCTCTAAGAAATCACTTTTCCTGATGACTCTGCACACAGCATTCAGTTCTAACTACATCTTTATCCACCACACCTGGGTGCCACACCTGCTACAACATGTAGTCAGATGTATCTCCCTAAAATGGCAGCCTTGTTCAAGGCTTCACCAGAGGTGTACCAATGAGGCTAGTTGGTACGGTGACGAAATGTTTGCAAACAAACTTACCAACTTGGTGAGCAAGTCAACAATCGCACGGCAGCCTTACGATTGGAAGAGTGGAAAATTTGAAGAGATATTAGAAAGTCATGGACAAAAGAGCTGAATTCCAGAGGTGAGGTGAGAGTGACTGTCCTTCACATCATGACTGCATTTGACAATTGTGGCATCAAAGAGCCCTTGCAAAGCTAGAATCAACGGGAATTGGGGAGATGGGATTTGGGGAAACTATCCCATTGGCTCGGGTCATACCTGGCACAAAGGAAGATGGTTGTTGTTGAAGACCAGTCATCTCAGAAAATGCAGAACATCTCTGCAGGAGTTCCTCAGGGTCAACAATCTTCAGCTGCTTCATCAATGACCTTCCTTCAATCATTAAGAAGTGGGGATGTTCGCCAATGATTGCAAAATGTTCAGCACCATGCGCAACTCCTCAGATATTAAAGCAGCCCATCGCCAAATACAGCATGACCTGACCAATATCTAGGCTTGAGCTAATATTCTTGTCACAAAAGTGCCAGGCAATGACTGTCTCTGACAAGAGAGAACCTAACATCGCTCCTTGATGTTTAATGGTATTGCTGAAATAGATTCCCAATTATCAACATCCTGGGGTGGTCCAGATTGACCAGAAACCAAACTGAACCAATTATATAAATATTGTACCCACAAGGGGAAGGCTAGGAATTCTGGGTAACTCATTTCCTGGCTTGCAAAGGCCTGTCCACCTTGAACAAGGCACAAGTCAGCAGTGTAACAAAAATACTCTCTAATTGTCTGAATGAGTTCCATTCTAATCACAGTCAAGAAGCTCAGCACCATCCAGGCCAAAGCAGATGACTTGATAGGCACCATTTCCACCATATTCAAACATTCATCTCTTCACCATTGATGCACAATGCAACAGTGTGTCCCATTGAGAAGATGCAGTAATTCACCAGTGTTAGGGACCTGACCAGACCCACTCAAAATATTTTAAGGTGGTAGCCTAGACCTGAACATTTTCTTATTTGAAAAGCAAATGTGAAGTGCCATGTTCGAGATGCAATGTGATTGGTCAAACTACTTGACATTAAGCAAAACACAATTAATTTAAACGCAGCAGTTAAAATACAACCAAAGAAAGATGAATTTTTAATAACTTAGCTCTATTGGAAATCTTAACAGAATAATAGATACAGTAACCATTACTAGTTAATTGTTCCAATATAGTAATGTCCCATAAACACAACCCTTGGCAAAAAAGAAAATTCAGAAACAGTTTCTCTTATGCAGTTCTCCCACCCAGGAAGAAAAAAACAAGAGAAAATTCAGAGAGATTAGCAGCTGGGGACATTCACTGAATCTTCCAACTCTGTTGAGATCCCAAAAGCTTCTGATGCTACTGAAAAAACCAAAAGCCCAAATCTGGATCTGTGAGAGCTGACCACACCCACTCAGGCTTTTAAAAACATCCCAAGGCCTCCCAAGATGTTTGTATTACGGCAAACTACTCGGCACCTCTACTTTACAACCTCTCCAAAAAAAACAGTACAAAAATAATCTTTAAAGCCACAGCGCTGTCATACCAGGTCTTCTTCAATAGCACTTACTAAATCTGTGACTTCTACCATCTAGAAGGACAAGGGCAGCAAATGCAAGGGAACTCCATCACCTGCAAGTTCCCTTCCAAGATACACACATCCTGCCTTGGAAATATATCACTGTTTTCCATGTCATTGGGTCAAAATCATGGAAACCGCTTTTCAAAAGCATTGTCAATGTCCTCACATCCCAAGGACTTACAACAGTTCAAGGAGACAGCTCACAATCAACTTGCCTAAGGCAATTAGGTATGGGTAATGCATGCTGGCCTAACCAGTGACATCCACATCCCACATGCCATTAAAACAAAATACTTACATGCAAAAGCCAGTCAAACAAATATTAATGTATTATTACATTATAGATAGTTATTTAAAATAGCTATTAGTCTTAAATGTGATTTGAAAACATTTTCTGAGCTTTCTTAATGATTTAGTTGGCATCATATATAAAATGAACCACACAGACAAGGAGGCTGTCATGTGTAACCCTCAGCAAATGATGATTTCATTGATCTCAGTCGGAGTGAAGATTAAGAAGCTGTGTGTGTGTGACACTGGAAGAAGAGGTTCTGCATGGAATGGTAAATAAGAACTTTAATTTTTACTTTTAATTGTAAATTGCATTCAATGTCCATCCTAAGTGCCTTTAAACTAAGTGGCTTACGAGATCATTTCAGAGTCCACTACATTGCTGTAAATCTATAGTTACATGTAGACTAGACTAAGTAATGATGGCATTTTCATTCCCTGAAAGGCATTAGTGTCCCCACATAATGAGCCTGCACCTTTGGATTGCTAGTCCAGTGATACTAACAAAATGCCACCAGCTCCCTCAAATGATGGAAACACATCTCTCAACATTTTCATTTCAAATGCCACTCCAAAACATAAGCACAAAAATCAAGGATGACAGTGTTGAGGGAGTGCTGCATTGTTGGAGGCGACAGCTTTTCAGTAAGATGTCCATCCCAGAACCCTGTCTGCCTTCTCAATCCAATGGGTGCTGAAGATCCCTTACCCCTATCATGTCCTATCTGAAATTTGTCCCTCACTCAACACCACAAGACAGTGTTATCTGATAGTTGACAGTTCTGAGATCTCACTGTGTGAAAATTGGCTGCTGTGATTTTAGTATTACAACCCTTCGAGAATAAATCACTTCCTTGGCTCTGGAGCAATTTCAGACCTACTTTGGTTGTGAAAGGTGCTATATAAATGCAAATTTATTTTGGGAGGGGGTTGAACTCGTGATCCCTAAACTTTCACACATAATTGTAACTTTTCTGATTTGTGTTTTTCAAGAAAGTGTGATATCTTTGTTTTAAAATAGCGGGTCCCTTTTCCCAAGCCCTTTCACTAAGGGTAAAATCTGATATAATTATAGACACCCTCCCTGCAGTGACTGAGCTACTGCTCAGCCCCCGACTTTTGCTATTATTCCTCCCAGCCGCTAGAGTCGCTGCGGACAGCCTCCCTGCAGTGACTGATGAGTCTACACTGCCCCCTTTGTCATGACTCCTCCTAGCCCCTGGTGTCGCTGCAGACACACTCCTGCGGGTGACTGAGCTGCCACTCAAACCCCAACCCCTAACTGTCATGACTCCCCCTTTCCGCTAGCGTCGCTGCATCCACCCGCTCCGCCCGGATCATTCTAAGCGACGGACCAGGAGGCGCCGCTGTGTCCGAGCGTGATTTGGGTTCGGCTGCTGTGGGCGGCACGGAGTGGCGAACGGAGGTTCCGCAGGGTTAATTGCTGTTATTTAATTTGGTTTCGGGTGAGTGTTTTAGAAGCGGCCGCGGGGCAGAGGGGCTGCAAAAGGTTTTGTTTTTTGTACTAAGAGCCTGTCATTCCTCCCCCCGACCCTTGTTAATTCAGTTGCAGGCTGTGGCTGAAGCTGAAGCTGGTGTCGATGTTGAGTGTCTCCACCCCATAGCCCACTTCATTGACCTCTCAGTCTGGGCAAGGCCCTCAGTTTCCAGCCTTCATTCATTCATTCATTCATTCATTCATTCATTCATTCATTCATTCCTGAGCAATGAAAGCTGTTTCTCTGCCAGATTAGCATCTCAATTGACCCTCCCCCCTCTCAGTTTCACCCCAGGGCCCCCACCTCTCAGCTCTCTCCATTGTGTGTGGCCTTTAAAGCAGGACAGGGTGAGGAGTGGCTGCAATGCCAAACACTCCCATTGCTTTGTGAACTCTTGCGCAGCCACAAACAGAAGAGGTTACTCACGGGATGGTTATGAAATTGTTCCCCTGTAAGAAAACTTTGCTATCACAAGGAGAGAACAATTTAGCATTTTTCAAATGGGTTGTAGCCCATTGGGGTCATGTATTTAAGTTTCCTGTGTTTTAAAATCTAAATAATTTTATTTCTTCATTTTCTGCTTTTATGTTCTATGTTTTAGTTTATTTTTCTGTGTTTTAAGATGGTGCTGGAGAATGGTGACACTATACAACACTCTCTCACTATTTTTGTAACAAAATACACCTGACAATAAATAAATCAAATCAAATCAAATCAAATAGAAGCAATCATTGTATGTCCACTGTGGTCTTGGTTGTGTCAATGCCTTTCAAGTTGCATTTGGATCTTTCTTTCCTTTCAAATTGTTACCTTTGTAGGAGATGGAACCATCCTGTCGTAAGGAGAAGCCAAAGCCAAAGGAGCCACCCTATCGAGGGGATAAAGCCAAACAGAAATCTGCTTTACAAGAACTCAAACAGAGGCAGCGGGCTGAGGTATAGGCTCTGATGTTGATACCTGAATTAAGCACCCTGCGCTATAAAGCCAGAGCACAATGGGTTGGTTGACGCCCAATCTGCTCCAATATCCACAGGACTGTGAACCAAAGCGTAGGCTTAGATGGGTCAGATTCGGGTCAGGAAATGGAAGATAGAGCATTAGTTAATGATGTAGTCAGTGACTCGGAACGACAAGAAACGAGGATTAAAAAGCATCTAAATGTGATTTGAAAGGTACAAAGGAAATGCCAAACAATTATAGATCAGTTAATCTTGCGTTGCTTGTGGGCAAATTCATAGATCATAGAATCCCTACAGTGTGGAAACAGGCCCTTCGGTCCAACAAGTCCATACCGACCCTCAGAGCATCCCAACCAGACCCATCCCCTATAACCCACCTAATCTACACATCCCTGAACACTATGGGCAATTTAGCATAGCCAATCCACCTAGCCTGCATGTCTTTGGATTGTGGGAGGAAACTGGAGCACCCGGAGGAAACCCATGCAGACACAGGGAGAATGTGCAAGCTCCACACACAGTTGCCTGAGGCTGGAATTGAACTCGGGGTCCCTGGTGCTGAGACCCTAAAGGTAGCAGTACAGGTAGATAAAGTTGTAAAGAAGGCATATGGAATGCCCTCCTTCATTAGCAGAGGTAAAGAATACAAAAAGTAAGGATATAATGATGAAACTGTATAAGAAACTGCTAAGGGCACAACAGGGGGATTGTGTGCAGTTCTGGCCCCTACATTAAAGGAAGGACATAATTGCTCTGGAGAGGGTGCAGGGAAGATTTATTAGAATGTTGCCAGGGCTGAAGAATTATAGCCAAGAGGAGAGATTGGGTTTGTTTTCCTTGGAACAGGGTTGGGTGTGTCGGTGAATGACATGATTTGTGGTATACAAAATTGTGAAGGGGTGGGGACCAATTATAGTAGACCTGTTTTCTTTAGCAGACAGTTCAAAAACCAGGAATCATAGACTCAAGCTAAATGGCAGAGGATTAGAGGAGACATGATGAAACAGATATGCAGAGGGTGGTGAGTATCTGGAATTTGCTGCCTGAGTGAGTGGTGGAAGCAGAGACCCTAAACTCTTCCTAAAAAATACCTGGATCTGCACCTTAAGTGCTGCAGAGTGGTAGAGTTGAATAGCATAGAAACAGACCCTTCAGTCCAACTTATCCATGCCTACCAGAGATCCTAAATTAATCTAGTCCCATTTGGCCCATTTACCTCTCAACTCTTCCTACTTATGTACCCATCCAGATGCCTTTTAAATGTAATTGTACCAGCCTACTCTGGCAGGTCATTCCATACACGCATACATGCCCCCTTTGTCCCTTTCATTTCTTTCTCCTCTCGCCTTAAACCTACAACCTCTCGGTTTGGACTCACCTAAGCTGCAGGACCATGGGCTGTGTTCAAGAAGATGGGATTAGAAAGGACATTTGGGTGTTTCTAGGTCGGCATGGACAAGATGGCCGAATGACCACCGCCGCCACTAACCCTGCCGCCACCACCCCCCCACCCCCCCCTCATGCTGTGTCATTTCTAAGGTTCTGCTACAAGAATAGAGCTCAACTAGTTTATGTTTTGTCATCAGACGCATGATTAAATTACCATCTTTGGCAGTAGTTATCCTGTGCTACTTGACTGCAACTAACAGAGTAACTGATTATATTAAAACAAAACATTGTGGTTACTGCTGCAATTTGAAATAAAAACACAAATTGCAAGAACTATGCAGCAGATAAGGTGGTGATGGTGTAAAGAAAACTGTTAATGTTTCAGACTGATTAAAAAAATCATTAACTGTTACCTGACCTGCTGAGTATTTCCAGTAGTTTCTATTACCAGAATTCTACAGCTTCGATTATCTGCTCATTGTCAGAGGAGAGGTCTTCTCCCGGTTAGTAATTTTTGGTGGGCCTGCCAGTGTGGACAGGAGCATCTGATTTCTCAACGTGCAAGAATTTGCCAGTCAGGCTGCTAATTTTCAGGTTGTCCTTAAATCACCTTTTCAACCTGGATAAACTCCACAGTGATTTATTGGAATTAAAGCAACCTTTCCAAGGAGGAGTGTCTCACACCCACTACACTCTTGAGTCATATCAGAATTACATTACCATTTTGTAACACAAACAGAAATTGCTGGAGAAACTCAGCAGGTCTGGCAACATCTGTGGAAAGAGAAACAGAGTGAATGTTTCGGGTCCAATGACCCTCCTTCAGAACTCCATTTTTGTGTTGTTTTGGGAACTGCTTCACAACACAGAAGTCAGTATCGATCAAATGTTGTGAGAGGTATAGTATATTTAGAATTGCTTTGAAAAATGGCATTTTTTTCATTTGAACCGTCTGTGTGGTTTTAGCCAATTTAGCTAAGAAGTTCCACAAGTTTAGCTTTATCTCAGTCAACGTTCATTAAGCGACTTGGAAAAATATAAATGTTCAGACTGATAGGTTGAAATTCTCTCCTGTGGGCTGGTATAAAGCCATAACTGTGAAAATAGTTTAGAAAGTTTCCACCCTTTTCTCCCTAGTGTCTAAAAACCCCCGATTTGTAAATCCCTGCATAAATAAACTGACAAAGGATTTGTTTGATCAGTCCGTTGGTCCCAGTAGCGAGCTTCTAATAACAACCATGCATGTCAGAAGTGGTGCTGCAGTATAATTAACTCCAAGAGGACTGCAGAATTTCTGAAATTACCCTTGTCTGCCTGATATTTTACTGCTTTCATTGATACAGTATTGAACTCGGTGCTGTTTTTACCTCTCCAAACAGATCTACGCCTTGAACAAAGTAATGACCGAACTGGAACAACAACAGTTTGAGGCTTTCTGCAAACAGATGCAGTCGCAGAATGACTGTGGACAACACTGATGGCTTGACCCTCTACAGCCCAGAAACAGGCAGATTTTGTTTCTTAAAACACTAAATGCATATGCAGAGCAACACATTTAGAAACAAGAAATTCTGGTCTTTGCTCATAAGTCAACTTCAAAATTTAAGGCAAAAAAAATTAACTTGTCTCAGATCACAATTTTTTTTTGGAAGGAGAATAGAAAACGCGTTAAGTTACTTTGTCTCCACAGAGGGTTGTTAATCTACAAATTTCTATTCCAGTGGAAGCAGGGTTGTTGAATATTTTTAAGGCAGAGATAGATAGATAAATTCTCGATTGAATGAGTATCAAGGTTTGGTAGGTCAGTACAGTTGACACCACAATGAGAGCGGCTATGATCTTGTTGAATGGCTGAGCTAGTTAAAGGGGTCAAATGTCTTTTGCCTACTCCTAATTGACATGTTCCTTCAAGTTAATGTAAAGCTAGAGTAGCAATTGACCGAAGTTGTGCTCCTTATTTCTGTCTGGTGTTTCGTTTTGCTTCTGTATGGATGTGCCAATACTGGATGAAGGCTAGCTGGACTTCAGCTGCCATGTCCTGCTGAAATAGCCTTCCATTAGCTTGCTACTCAAGCTAAGTGAAGAACGAATGGCCTGCGAGAGAGGTACCAAGGAAATGTTGTCCTCTCCTGAATCTAGATTTTTTAAACAGAGCTTCAATACTGATTCAGCTTCTCTAGCTCTGTAAGAATGATGCCAGCATTTACCATTTTATCAAGTAAGCGGAGATGAATCATCCTTGCATGCAGTTCCTATATTTAAATATCATGCTGTAAACTTTTTGTGTAGAAGAACAAGATGCCATTTGAACCATTGAGGCTGCTGCCCCCAGTATCCAATTATTATGTTAATATATTATGGACTCCATCCTAAACAGCCATTTCCTGCTGACCTCTCAATAAGTAACACACAATTCCTCTTCACTGTCTCCCCTGAAATGTATCAAGCAATGCTTGTATCTTTCTAACCTACAAACACCCTCCTCCTTGACAGAAACCTCAATGGTGAACTCTGAGTCAAAACTTGAATGTTCTTCATTCAGGAGTCCCTACCAATTGAGCGGTATCCTGGAGGGGGAAAAAATGCTTTCTCTGATCTCATATTGAGTATAGAATCCCTACAATGTGAGTGCAGGCCATTCTTCCCACTGAGTCCACACCAACCCAGACCCACCCCCTACCCTATATTTCTCGCCCTAGACACTGGGCAATTTATACAGCCAATCCACCTAACCTGCATATCTTTGAACTGTGGGAGGAAACCCACGTAGGTACGGGAAGAATGTGCAATCTCCACGCAGACAGTCGCCGGAGGCTGGGATCAAACAGGGTCTGTGGCGCTGTGAGGCAGCAGTGCTAACCACAGCCACAGTGCTGCTCCACCACTTTTTTTGAGCTTTGTGAAGCTTACAATTGAGTCCTCATATTTTATACTTGCTTTCAACAAAGGTATCTCTCTCCCAAACCAGAAGAGCTGAGAAACTTCAGTTTGCACCCCAAGCTAGGAAACTTCAGAGCCAGGCAATGAGACTTCATTCTCCAACTTTACAGTGCCAATAGAAATGGATTTTTAAATCCATCATTTTGTGTCATTGGCACCTGAGGTCAATAAATTTTAAAGAATGTTTGGAAAATTATTCCTAAAATCTCTATTTGAATGTTTCCTTTGTCAGTGAATTTGTTTTGAACAGAAGAGTTTTATTTAGCATAAATGTTGGTAGCATCCAGGGATGGTGTTCTATCATTCACTCTAGCTTAACTGCCAATTGAGAAGGCCAGAAATGTCTTCCTTTCACCCTCGCCCTTTGCTTTGGACAGAGTATTGAAGCAATGTAGTCAAGATAAGTGCCTGTTATGATGAGGGCTGGGATCAGCACAATTTTACTAGATAGATTTTGAAATGTAAGCTGTAATGATCAGAGTCCTCCTTGGAGACTGCCATTCAGAATGGTAGCGCAGGAATAATGAGTCATTGGGATAACTACTTGCGTGGTGCTAATGTGACTAGTAATCCACAGGCCCAGCCTAATGATTGGGGACAAGGGTTCAAAACTCCGCACAGCAGCTGATGGGGTTTGAATTCAATAAGTAAATATAAAGGTAGTCTTGGTTAGAATTAGATACATGAATAGGAAAGATATGGAGGGATAGGGCCAAACTCATGCAGGTGGAACTAGTTTCCTTTGGGATTATGGTCGGCATGGACTGGTTGGACCTATGACTCTGACCCTGATAACTATCATCATCTCTTGCAAAATCTCATCTGGTTCACTGATGTCATTTCAGGGAGAGAAACTGCCATCCTTGCCCCTATATATGACTCCTGATCTACAGGAATGTGATGAACTCTTAACTGCTTTCTGCCTAGTAGGTCACTCAGTTCAAGGGCAATCAGGGATGGGTAAGAAATACTGGAATTGCCAGCAAAGCTCTTTTCTCAAGAAAACATTTATTTTAAATCATCATCTTTTACCTTCATTTTTCAACTAACAAGACTTTTTCATTGTGCATCATTCAAGAAAATTTGTATTTATAAATATTTTTGATCAACCTGTTCAGATTTGTTATAACACATCTCTGGACCAAGTGGGACTTGCACCCAGGTCTCCTGGCCATGAGAGAGTGACACTACCATTGCACCACCTGATGTCTATTTATATACTGGTATTTATGTTTTGATGTATTTATTGCAATTATATAGTGTAATTTGTGCTTTGTGTTGTTTCTACGCCCTGGAGAAAATGATATCTTCCACTTTAAGTGACCATGAAGAAAGAGTTTCAGCTGGGAGTGTCTTGGGTAGGATATTTCATTCATAAATTGCCCATTGTCAATGTAATAAAAGAACTTGTGAAGTTATTTTGTGTTAGAATTTCTGCCTTGTTGTGTTTCGTTGGCATAATTTGCTTTAAACGATTACCGTGAAAATGACTGTGAACTTCTAACACAATTACATTTGCTGCGTCTTGAGTTGCACCAGTTCAAAGAGATCCTCTTCCACAAAACTGACCATGCTCCCAGGATGAAAGGATCATTAGAAAGTTCAGCTGCTAACGCAGCAGATATTTAACTGGTTCTCTCAGGTGCAAAGACACCAACTTAAAAGGATTTTCAAAACTTCTAAAAGTAACCTTTCTTTTAAATTTCAATGAAACAGACAACTGTATCCCAATGTAAATGGTTCTGTAGAACTTTTTTTTAATGTTGTATTCAAAATTTGCTGACTACAGGAAAAAGTGGGCTACCAGGGGTGGTGTTTAAACTGAGTTGCTCTTACAGAGAGCGAGCAGAGACACAGTGGGCCATATGGCCTCTTAATGTGTTCTAACAGGTCATGATGTAGTCACTTAAAATCAGAAAACTCACTAGAAGTGGGTTGACACTGATTAAAAGTGGTTTTCTTTTGTGATAAATCATTCCAACTGTGTGTTAATCAAGCTGCACCAAGTTACTATTAAATATATCATCAAAGATTTTTAAACAATGTTTTAAAATACTGTCTAATGTCAACTAGCTCAGTGGATTTTGTAGGGATAAATGAGTGCAATTGTAAAGAAAATCAAGAAATGAAAATACTTTTTCAAAACTTAGGTTGCAGTGTGTGTGTTTGGATTACCAATGTGTTCAAAGCAGAAACTCTATCCTATCCTGTTAAACCAGTTATGATTCATGCTTAATGGAAACCAGCTGTCATTCCAGAGCCATGTTACTGATGTGCCTTATGCATCCTGCTGTAGCTTCTCTCATTTTGCACCATGCAAAAACACTGTCATTTGATAGATAGATAGTAGGAACTGCCGATGCTGGAGAATCTGAGATAACAAGGTGTAGAGCTGGATGAACACGGCAGGCCAAACAGCATCAGAGGAGCAGGAAGGCTGATGTTTCGGGCTTAGACCCTTCTTCAGAAAAACGGTCTGAAGAAGGGCCTAAACCCAAAACAGCAGCTTTCCTGCTCCTCTGATGCTGCTCGGCCTGCTGTGTTCATCCAGCTGTACGCATTGTTATCATTTGATAGATAATGCTTTTACACGTGCTGTATTTCCTCAGTACTGCCCTACAGTGGCAACATAGATTGTGTTCAGATCTCTCAAATGAGTCTTGAACCTACCAATGCCTGAGTAGAGGCAAAGAGCACTTTGAGTGTCAAGGCTGACATCTGAGCCCTATCCAGAAAGAATGAACGTAAATGTGACCTATCTAAGCATGTCTTCCCTTGAAAATGGCAGTCTTTTGATTGTTGTTTCATTTAGACTTTTATTTTCCCCTGCTCCTCTCTTTGCTTCTCAAACATATCTCAGCTTTAGCTCCAGCAACATCCTAAGGTTGCTATGTTTAACTAAGGTGCTGTGCTGGAATCGTGTGTGTACTGCAGCACAACAAAAACAACTTATGGAAATTGGTTCCTCGTTTTTGGTTGAAGCAAAACCGGTGCTTGCATTGATAAAGTTGTTGAAGAAAGAAGTCAGACAGTTTGTGGGTGATGCTGAGTATTCATTCAATGTGGTTATTTATAGAAGCTTTGGAGTAGCATCATGTAATGTTCTCTAAAATGTATTGTCAGGGGTTTTTATGAGCCTCCCCTAATTAAAGATTGTGTCAACACTCTCAGGCAAAGTGTTTGTGTTATTGTTTCTGCTACTAGCATACTGTCACCATTGTCTTTTGGTCCCCATCACAAATTCTGTTCCCCAGTTGCTGACTCCATTTACCCTCCCTAGTCACTGTCTGAGACTGAACCAGATAGATTACAGCCCCACACTCATGCTTGATCCTGAGCTGAACCCGTTATCCTTTCTATCAACATAACTGCCTAGTTCTACCTGTTTTGGCTGATCTGCTGCTAAAATTCTCACCCATGTCTTTGTTCCTTCCAGACTTGTCAATTCCCATGTCTCCTGCTGGCTTTTCACTTTCCATTCTCCACAAATTGAGCAGTCTAACTTTCACTAAGTGCAATCACCTATCATTCTTCTCCTTAACAGCCTACATTAACTGGTCCATCAATTTGCCTTATTCTAAAATTTTCATCCATTCACTGACGTGGCAAAACACGATTCAAATTCACAGCCTGCTCAAAATAAATTGGAGACATCAAGATCATCACTTTGTACTGGAACACTTGTCCTAGGATCAGATAGGTTGAAAGTGCTAGCCATCATAACTTAGGAAAACACAAATTCCACAGACTTGGTATTTCATAATTACATTTGTTTACTTTTTTAAAAAAATTGTGTGTGTGTATCCATTGCATGATATCAGGATTGTTGGGAATACATATTTATATTTGAGGACTGTTTGAAAGATAGGTTGGGAGGACTTTTTTTTTGCCCCTGGAGCCTTAGAGGCTGAGAGACGACCTTTATAGGGCTTCATAAAACCATGAAGGGCACAAATAGAGTCAATAGCCAAAGGTTTCTTCCCCTCCCAGGGTTGGGGAGTCCAAAACTGGAAGGCATAGGTTTAAGGTGAGAGGGGAAAGATTTAAAAAGGGCCTGAGGGGTAACATTTTCACAAAAGAGGGTGCTGTGTGATTGGAACAAGCTGCCAGAGGAAGTGGTGGAGGCTGGTACAATTACAATGTTGAAAAGGCATCTGGATAGGTATATGAATAGGAAGGGTTTACAGGGATTTGGGCTAAATGCTGGCAAATGGGACTAGGTCAGATTGGGATGTCAGGTCGGCATTGACGAGTTACAGTGAAGGGAATGTTTCTGTGCTGGATGACTATTTTCAACTATTAGGATATTGGATTGAAAAGGGATTTGTTTTTTTTTATTCACTCATGGGACGTGGACATTGATGGCTGATCAGTGTTTCTTGCCCATTCCTATTTGGCCTTGAGATGGTGGTGGTGAGCTGCCTTCTTGAACCGCTGTAGTCCATATGCTGTAGGTTGACTCAAAATGCCTTTAGGGTGGGAATTTGAGGATTTTTTACCACATGATTACTTGAAAATTAAGCCAATAATTTAATGTAAGCAGCGGTTTGCCTGCTTTTTACTGGAGATCAAGTGACTTTGGAGAAACAGCTAAGCAAAGCTTTCAAGGTGGTAAAAAATAGGATTTATTGTCATAATTACTGAGAAGATCTACTTTTGAGAGGACTAATGACCCCTAAACTAATAATTACCTCCCTGAATGCAAACTTCTGTCTTGTAGATCTACCAAACACATCTCTGGAACTCAAATCCCTCTCCTGAAATCCTGTACTCAGTTTCCAAAGACTAATTTCCAAGTCCAACTTGTCCATGCTAGTTTCCAAACACTAGTGGTTCTGTCTACCTCGTAAAGACTGAATTTGTGAACTGTGACCAATTTCTAACTACTCAAATCCAGGTTGATTGGAGTCAGAGCTAGGAGTCAAAGTACGGCTATTGAAATTCAGCTTCATCGACTGGAAATACTGGATGTGAGAAGTCTTCACATTCATTCTTTTATTTCCAGACTTCTGGTTTATGGGGTATTTCACCCACCTCCCACCATACCTCCCGCCTTTTTGCTTTTTTATAAAAACATCCCGACAGAACCTTATCTTTTTTGTGTTGTGCATGCGATCTCAACTATGGAGGGATTTTGTTATGAGGAGAGGTTGAAATTGGGCCTGAACTCACTGGAGTTTAGAAGAATGAGAGGCAACCTTATTGAAGCATATAAGATTATTTGGGGACTCGACAGATTATTTCCTTTTGTGGGCGAGTCCAGGAACAGAGGATATAATCTCAGAGTGAGGTGTTGCTCAGTACCTGACGAAGGAGCAGCACGCCGAAAGCTTGTGATTTCAAATCTGTTGGACTGGAACACAAATCAGTGCAAGACTTTTACACTTAATGGTAAGGTCCTGGGGAGTGTTGCTGAACAAAGAGACCTTGGAATGCAGGTTCATAGTTCCTGGAAAGCGGAGTCGCAGGTAGACAGGAGAGTGAAGAAGGCATTTGGTATGCTTGCCTTTATTAGTCAGTGCACTGAGTATAGGAGTTGGGAGGTCATGTTGCAGCTGTACAGGACATTGGTTAGGTCACTTTTGGAATACTGCGTGCAATTCTCGTCTCCCTGCTATGGGAAGGACGTTGTGAAACTTGAAAGGGTTCAGAAAAGATTTACCTGGATGTTGCCAGCTATAAAGAGAGTCTGAATAGGCTGGGGCTATCCTCCCTGGTGCATTGAAGACTGAGGAGTTTCACCTGAGGTATATAAAATCATGAGAGGCATGGATAGGGTCAATAGCCAAGGTCTTTTCCCCAGGGTAATGGAGTACAAAGCCAGGGGCATAAGTTTAGGGTGAGAGAGGAAAAAAGTAAAAGGGACCTAAGGGGAAACTTTTTTATGCAGATGGTGGTGCATGTATGGTATGAACAGCCAGAGAAGGTGGTGGAAGCTGGTACAATAACAACAGTTAAAAAGCATCTGGATGAATAGGAAGGGTTTAGAGGGATATAGGCCAAATGCTGGCAAATGGGACTAGATTAATTTAGGATATCTGGTCAGCATGGACCAGATGGACTGAAGGGTCTGTTTCCATGCTCTGTGACTCTATAACCTGATGTTAAGTGACTTCTGACTTTGCCTGGTTAAGATGGGCTTGAGGAGGAATTTTTTCTCGCAGAGGGTTAGATAATTCTTTGAGGTTTGCATCACATATAGTCAGGGTGGTTAAAAAGGCATTTGGCACGTTTGCCCTCATTGCTCAGACCTTTGAGCGTAGGAGTTGGGAAGTCATGTTGAGGTTGTACAGGACATTGGTGAAGCCTCTTCTGGAGTACTGAGTCCAGTTCTGGTCACCCTGTTATAGGAAGGATATTGTTAAGATAGACAGGGTTTAGAAGAGATTTACCAGGATGTTGCCAGGTAAAGAAAGTTTGAGTTATAAAGAAAGGCTGGATAGGCTGGGATTTTTTTTCACTAGAACGTAGGAGGTTGAGAGGCGTCCTTGTAGAGATTTGTAAAATCATGAGCGGTATAGATAGGGTGGGGAATTTCAAGACTAGGGTGCATATATTTTAGGTGAGAGGAAGGAGATTTTAAAAAGACATGATGGACAAATTATTTACACAGAGCTTTCTGAGAAGGTGGTGGGTGCAGGCACAGTTACAATGTTTAAAATATGTTTAGATAAGTACACAAATTGGAAAGGTTTAGAGGGATATGGGCCAGGAGCAAGCAGGTGGGATTGGTTAGTTTGGGATTATGGTCAGCATAGACTGGTTGGACTGAAGGGTCTTTTTCTATGCTGTATGACTCTATGGGTAATGAATCTGGATTACTTTTAAAGACAGAGGGCTGTAGAGGCTGGTCATTAAGTATACACAAGACAGATTTTTAATCAGTTAGGGAATCAAGAGTTGTGAGAAAAGGCAGTAAAGTGGAGTTGAGGATTATTTGAGCAACCATTATCTTATTGATTGGTGGAGCAGACTCAGTGGGCAGAATGGCCTACTTTTGCTCCGACATCTTATGCTCCTAAGGTGATAAGTTTTAATTCAGGATCATAGCTTAGGTTTTAGCCAGAGTTTTCCACTTGCATTAAGAATTTTTATTTCATAATGTACAGATTATTTTGAGTTCATTAAAGAGGGTAGAGGATGTTTCTCTTATTATGGATGGTAACAGCAGTAAAGAAAAGCAATTGGCCGTGATCAGTAATTGAATAAACAAATTGGAGAGACTGGTGGAATAATGCGCCTTGATTATAATTGCATTCTTCCCAATATAATTGTGGCAATATTGAGAAATGCATTTACTTAAAACACCTGGTATCATCAAACAGAAAAGTTGTTCCAATGCTGTCCTTAGAAGAGTGTTGCAAACTTTGGAAATCTGCTAGTTGACCATTTCCTACAGCCTGCAGCTTCAATAAGTAGTAATCATAGAATCTCTACAGTGGGGAAGCAGGCCATTTGGCCCATTGAATTCACACTGACCCACTGAAGAGCACCCATACCTGCCACCCCTGTGCCTGTAACCCTGCATCTCCCATGGCTAATCCACCTAATCTGCACATCTCTGGAGACGATGGGCAATTTAGCATGGCCAATCCACCAAATCTGCACATCTTTGGGCTGTGGGAAGAAACCGGAGCATCCGCAGGAAACCCATGCAGACATGAAGAGAACATGCAACTCCACACAGACGGTTGCCTGAGGGTGAAATTGAACCCAGGTCCCTAGCGCTGTGAGATAGCAGTGCTATGAGCCACTGTGCTGCCCTAATGCCAATGTAATTTTACAGTCTAATTTGTCACTGTGGACCCAAGCCCCACCAACATTTGGGTTGTGACTACTCAAACTAATTTCAACTTTACAACCAATAGACAGTTGGGTCATCCCATCAGACTGGACTGAACTTAATGCCAGCTTCCTGAGGAGAATGCCCGAGTGCCCAGCTCACTACAGTAAATCAACCTCCCTTCCCTCCACTTCTCATTAAAGTTTACCCTCTTCCCATCTTAATGATTTAGAATCATTTGTGCACAAGTTGTTTCAAGTTCTACAGTTTCTGAAACATCCTGTGATCAAATTACAAATTTTAACATTGAAGTATTAATCATTAAAGAAAGCTAGTCAAATGGTGACCATGTTACGACTTTTGATTATCCCAAAGTCACATCTGGTTCAATAATGTCCTTTAGGGAAGGAAATCTGCCATTTTTACCTGGTCTGGCCCACATATGACTCCAGACCCACAGCAATGCGGTTGACTCTTACTATCTTCTAAGCATTTAGGGATGGGCAATTAATGCTGGTCTAGCCAACGACACCCATACACCATGAATCTTAACTATTGGTGAAACAGTTTGTGTGTACAGACAGTGCAATCCATTTAACATCATTTTGTTTTTCCTTTTGAAAGAAGCAGAAACCAAGATCTATTATTTTAGCTATGCAGTTGTTTCTTTGGCCTTCTGGCCAGAATGTGCTGGACATAGTCACAGAGCTGCAGCATCCATCCTGCCAAAGTGGTCATTTGTGTGTCTCACCAGCTGAGACTGTCTAACCTCTCAACAGTCACACACACACAGTCTCCAGTAGAGGTCACCAGATAGTGAGCAGAAACACAATTCATTTTAACATCTTCACAAACACACACATACACACCCCAACTCCTTGACCAGAGACGGAGGTCTCAACCAGCTAACTCGGCACAAATCATTCTTCAGTCACACAAATCTGTCAGCGAAGCCTTAACATTTTATAGAAATCCTTACTTGCTCCACCCAATCTCTGCAAACACTCACTCCAGTTAACTGTGCATTCCTGAATACCTCACTGGTAAGGATTTAGGTCTCTCTATGTCCCACAGCTGTGGCAAGATTTTAGTTGCCTCAATCCCACCCTCTGGAATCGCCACCTTAAAAAGCTCTCTTCACCTTTACAAACTTATTTAACAGAACCTTTGGCCAGCCCTCTCAATCTCTCCCTTCCAGGCTCCCCATCAGTTTTCGTCTGCAGTTTCTTAGATATTTCTTGTTAAAGCTCCATGTCACTCAGTGAATTCCATTATAGAACCTAAATACTATTTCTGAATATTGCTGCACTCTTTAAAATCACTAAAGATTAAAATGCTGGTTTCAGCTCACCCTGGGTATTCTACTGTTATTGATCAATGTCAGTAAAGCAACACAGCAAGTAAATATACAACGGTATTTTTAAACAGGGCAATGGTATGTTTTTAAAAATAAAAGACAAGTGCTGATGCTGAACTTCCAACTATTAATTGGAAACATATAGCCAAAGAGAATGAAAGAGGATATATAAGCATTCTTTCCCTGCCCAACTCTGAATGCACTAAATTACACTGGGTACTGTTTCACAAGTGTCATCAAGCTCCCTGGAATGTCACTGAGAGAATAATTTCCTCAATGCTTTTCAGTATTAGGCCACGAACATCACAGAAAATGGTAGTCATTCCCGTAATCACCAAATACAAACTTAGAATCCCTATGGTGTGGATGCAGGCCATTCAGCCCATTGAGTCCACACTGACCCTCCAAAAAGCATCTCACCCAGACTTTTATCTGTATCTATCACTCTATCCCTGTAACCCTTCATTTCTCATGGCTAATCCACCCAGCCTGCACATCCCTATTACACTATGGACAATTTAGCATGGCCAATCTGCCTAACCTGCACACCTTTGGACTGTGGGATGAAACTGGAGCACCCAGAGGAGACCCACACAGACACAGGGTGCATGTGCAGACTCCAAACAGATAGTCACCTGAGGTTGGAATCAAACCCAGGTCCTGGGTGCTGTGAGGCAGCAGTACTAACCATTGAGCCACCATGCCGCCCCATTTTCTTTTGAGGCGAAGAAAACTTACCAGCAGGACTTATTTGGCAAAGATTAGAAACAGTAATGAGACTGGTTTTGCCTAATCTCTTGGATTCATGGATCTGAGTCTAAGCAATTGCACTGTTATACAGTAATTCCTCTATATTCGCAAAATCACAAATTGTGAAATCGCCATTCTGTGTGAGAAAATAAGAACAAAATTACACCTGTGGACAAAAATTGCTCATATGTGACAATTTTAGCCATTTTAAGGAGCTCCACACTTGCCAATTTCAACATTTGCAGGAGATCTCAGGAATGCAACCCTTGTGGGTATGGGGAAATGACTTGTAAATATTTCTAATTAACCTATCAGATGTGCCTGGGCTAGGTGGGATTTGAATCTAGACCTTCTGGCCTAGAGGCAGGGACGTTACCCCTGTGCCACAACAGCCCTTCAGAATGTAGAGTCTTGATGAGAATTTGGTTGCCATCACCTTTCAAATTTCATTGAAGGATAGATTAGAAACTCAGGTGGTACCAGATGATTTATCTTGATTATCATCAGAAATCACTGACTCGCAGTTTTCTTGGGTCATTTTATTGTTCGTGAGGCCAGTATTTACACCACACATTTAACATATGGGGCTAAAAATAAACACAAAGAAGACCTTAGCTCAATTCCCATAGGGTGGCATGGTGACTCAGTGGTTGGCACTGCTGCCACACAGTGCCCGAAACCCAGGTTCAAACCCACCACAGGTGATTGTGTGGAGTTTGTACTTTCTCTATGTTTCGGAAATCCAAAGATCTGCAGGTTAGGTGGATTGGCCATGCTAAATTACCCATAGTGCCCAGGGTCATGTAGGTTAAGTGCATTAGTCTGGGAAATGCAGGAGCAGGGTAGGGGGATAGGTCAGGGTGGGATGCTCTTTGGAGGATCAGTGTGGACTCATTGGGCCAGATGGCCTGTTTCCAAGCAGAAGGGATTGGATTCTGTTCTATTATTTAAGTGGAGTTCTCTCACCTCAAATGGGCTGATACAGTGGGAGTAACATTTCACCCTTGGCTCCCTTTGAGCTGCTTCTTCATTACTGTGTGACACTTGCTGGGTGGTGTGCGTCTGCCACATTAAGCAAGGTTGGCCGCGATGATTCACATGGTTGAATATGCAGGTGACACCCACTGTTTAAACAACTTTTCTCTGAGGAGCCAAAAGATGGTTAGCCCCCAGAAACAGTACCTTGACAACAATCAACGCCTTTAGGGTAGGAAGGACAGAACATTAAAGAGGGCGAGCCATGAGTTTCAATGACGTTAAGATCTTTTGTTATCCTTTGCAGGCATCTTAAACCCAAACAGCTCAAACAAAATGAATTCTCACTGATGTCGCCCATAAAAAAAAGTACCACAAATGTAAGCAGCATCCCACAATTTTATTAAAGATGTAATCAAGGAAGAAACAAATTATGCATGTTACATTTTGGAGGTTTGAAACCAACATGGCAGGATTCCTACTAAACATCTCCCACTGCCCAACAATCCCACCAGAACCAACTTGAAAACTTTCAGAAGTCCTTGAGGCCGGCTTAATATTTTATGGGCCCAAAGATTTTTTTTAATACAAAGTTCGTGAAAAGAAAGGACCTTTGAATGGATATCTCTTGGATAGGATGGTTACATAGGTTGTATTGATGTGAGGTAGCATGGTATCCAACTTCACAACAATGTGAACCATGCACCATTAGGACACATTAATGCAATGCTTAGATTTCACATGGTCTGCGGGAGAGTGCGAACCCCAAATTTTATAAGTCATTTGGGTGGAATGGGAACTTTCTGAAACATTTCATTTGCTTTCATTCCAGCAGAGAGCTCTCAACGTCACAAATATCAAAAGGTCACTGATTTTTGAATGCTTCAATCAGCTTGTCCCAGGGCTGCTTGTCCCAAAGTGACTGAATAGGCTCATCACACCCAGTTCCAGTTTTTTTTACACGCAAGCTTTCATAACCAGTCAGGGCTGCAAGACAGAATATTCCGAGAAGTCTGCAGTTGACAAATCCTAGAGTAGAATCTCAGCACAGCAGCACTTTTTCAACCCATCTTGTCCATGCAGACACTCTGAGGGACCAGTTCCATCAGTGCCCCATCTCCCCACTTTCTCCCTGCTGTCCTGCACATTCATTCTTCTCTGGTAATAAGCCAATCCTCTTGTAAAGGCCATGATAGAACCTGCTTCCACCCCACTCTCAGGCAGTCCATTCCAGAACCTAGCTCCCCACTGTGCAAAAGCACATATTCTCATTAAGCCACTATTAATGACGGTAATAAAATAACGCATCAATTTAAGAAATTCTTGCACTCCAATTAAAGGTGCTTTAAAGGGTTGCTTTAACCACCCAAACTGCCCATTTTGTGGTGTTACTTAAGATGATTTCTACTCATGGACATGATTTTGTTGTCTTTGACTGTTCTTCAGCAAGCCTCAATGAACATAAAATGTTTCTCTTTAATTCGATTGAAGAGCTGTTTGGTTCAGATGGGGTCTAGAACAAGAACTGCCTTTGCTCCATCAAACGATGGCATCACCCAGAGGAGGACCAAGCCAGAGAGTCTGAAAGTTGCAGGATTCAATTTCTGGTTTGTGCTTAGTTCATTGATAGGACATTAAGGTTCAGTGCAGCAAGCTGAGGGAAGAGAAGGTGGCAGTGAGATAAGAGAAATTCCTCACTCAGGATTTTCTTTTTACTCATTGTCAAGATGTGGGCGTCGCTGTTTAGATGAGCATTTATGGCCCAACCTAATTGCCCAGAGGGCAAATAAGAGTCAACTATATTGTATGTGTGTGGAGTCAAATGTGGTCCAGACCAGGTAAGGGTGGCAGTTTCCTTCCCTAAAGAGCATTAGTGGCCCAGTTAGGTTTCTCCCCAGTATAGACAATGGTCTCATGGTTAATATTTGACTCCTGGTTTTGGACATTTATTGAATTCAGATTCCACAACCTGCCATTGGTGGGATTTGAATCCAGGTCCCCAGGACATTACTTGATTCTCTGGATTAATATTCCAGTGATAATGCCACTAGATTATTGCCTCCCCATTATTGGTCTGATCAGTGGATGATGTTTCCTTTTGGTTAAGTGTATATATGTATATATGAAGTTTATCTGGAAACAGGTCCAAGGTCCATTTGCAATGCACCCTGCAATCTTCATAGCCTCCTGGCACTCATCTTCTGGGTTCACAGAACATTGGGCGAGGTACTGGATTGCAACAGGCACCCATTGAAAAAGGCAGCAAGGAACCAAAACCATTCAAGGGACAAGTGAAAATAAGATATGTATCGTCAGGCATTACAAAGTTAGCCAAGTTTCAAAATTCGATGAACAGGCTAGTGGGCTTAAACTACGGGAAAAGGGTCAGCATCCAATATGGAAAGGCTCTCAGATTCTCAGGTTTTGATATCATTTTGCCCTGAACTGTAGTCCAAAGACAATCAGGTGAAATTAGCAGTGAAACATGCTTTGCCAGCTCTAAAAATGAGGAGATGTTCATCAGTAGGAAAATCCACCTCGCATCAGTGAAACAGTCTTCAGATTAATGAACCCTGAATTGTCCTCAGAGTGTAACACTTAAAAGGAGTTGACACATCATTAGCTACATCTCCAGCTGCTTCTCTTCGGTTCTGCTGCCTGTACGTGGCACATCTGATTGAAGACAGCCTCTGTACCAACACAGAGAACATGAGGCACTCCCCGCACGAAGCAGCGATTTCACATCACACTGGAACTGCAACATGCTGGGACTCATTATTGTGGGATTGAGGAAGTGTAATCACTGGATACAGCAGGACAAATCAGAGCATTTAAAATTAAACATAACTCCAAGAAAAAGTCAATTTAATGTCACATAGCAGCTACCATTTTATGTTCCAGCTTCCTTTGAGCCAGCATTGTGGAAGTCAAAGCAATAAAATGTATAATTGTACCTTTTAAAAATAAATACTCAAGTGAAAAAGGGAAGGTGAATGGTGGGCCTAATAAATCATGGTAACCCCATGTTACAAGAACAAAGTCCGACTGTTAAATTGGTTAAAACAAAACTTGACAGCACGTTTTTCCCAATGGTTCAGTCAGTTTGTTCATTAGAAGACTGAACCAAACCAACCAGAAAGGTCTCAGAGCTAATCTCTTGCTGTGCTGAATGTGAAACTTTTACTCTCGATAGGTTTCTGTGAGCCCAGGGGTTAGGGGGAGAAAACCAAAAGGAACAGCCCACGGTACCTCTATCATGTGACTATCCAATAACCTCTGCTGCAATTGGGCAAGGATAGAAAGTGAAGCCTTCCGCAGTTAAATTACCCACTACCCGCTGCCAGAGCTCACGCCTGTGGGTGTCACAAGGAAGTGGACTGGGCTTAGAGTCTGTGCAACACTCCCCAACTAGAAATACGCTCCTGGAGGAGGGGAACAATTTTTTTTAAAATTCATTCATTGGATGAGGGCGTCACTGGCTAGGCCAGCATTTATTGCCCATCCCTAATTGCCTGGAGAGCAGTACAGAGTCAACTACATTGCTGTGGGTCTGGATTCACATGTAAGCCAGGCCAGGTAACAATAGCAGTTTCCTTCCCTAAAGGGGAAAAAGTGAACCAGATGGGTTTTTCCAACAATCAATTTATGGTCTTTATTAGACTCTTGATCCAGTTTTTTTTTAAATTGAATTCAAATTCCACCATTTGCTATGGCAGGACTTGAACCCAGGTCCCCACAACATTACCTGGGTCTCTGGATTAACTGTCCAGTAATAATACCACTACACCATCATCTCCTCTATAGAATTGGCCAGAAAAGGACTGGCCAGGGGTTGGAAGTGGTTAAATATTATTTCTTTTGAATAGATGATGGAGAGAACTTCTCCCAAGGCAGCAAATGTCTATTCTTGACTTTTGACTTAGGAAAATTTCATGCAGAAATATGGCATGGTGCAAAGACAAAAAGCACACCAGCAGGACTGAAAGGAGTTGGCTTGTTGCAGCGATTTCATGTAGTGAGCCAAGTGGCAAGTCTTGTTCTGTCCTAACCCTGCAAACTCCATTCCACAGTCTCCATAACAACTACAAAACATCGCACCATTTTCTTTCTCTAAATAAATGCTTATGGTGGATGATGTCAGTGCTGAAGGGGAGAGGGGACAAAGCGCGGTCTGTTTTACAGGACCAGCACACCACACCCCCTCCCCCCACCCCCCAGGGCAGGAGCTGCACGTGTTGAAGGCACCTTGGCTCTGTCCCAACTTCAGACAGCTTCCCTGCTGCGTTTGTGCAAGTTTCGGTGCCCCATTCCTGTCAAAACCCTTGGCCCAAGTACCACATTCGCACCATCTCAGGAATCAGCAATTTCTAACCACATCCAATTGAAGAAGTGGACCAAAAGACTAGTCAAAACAACTCGCAGAGGGAAAAAAGACTTTCACCCCATCTGAGGCCCAGTCGAATTTGAACCCAGTCTGAGGGTGCACATTTGTGACAAGATTCTGCTGCAAGTCAATTGTTACAGTCTGAAAGTCCAGAGTCAGGGCCCGAGCTGACTCCAAAGCTCTTCCAGCACAAGCTAAGTGCTTCATGTCAGCATTAAAACTGCAGTCTAAAATAATTCCTGGCAGATAAGAACAGTCTGCATTCACTACCTAATCCCTAATCAAAATAAATAATTTTGGTTTCATTGAAGACACACTGAACCGTTATTGAAGCAGTATCCCAAAGCCTATTTACAAATGTTCCCCAGAAGCCATGGCCCCTTTCCTTCACTGCTTCGTCCATCAACCAAAATCCTTATTCAAAAATAATCAACGGAAAACAAGAGAAAGAGAGTCCAAAATCATCCCCTAATCCATGTGCCGAGATGCTGTGGTCATTGTGAAATGCCCTCCCAGGTTTGGTGGTTCACAACTTTTATTTCTCAGTTCAGCTGAAATTTCCCAAATCAGTTTAGAGTCTGTTTCGCCTTTGATTGCTTTGCCATCAATTTGTGTCATTTTAGTCTCTCACTGATGCACCCTGGCATAGACAGCTAATCTGGAAGGAAGCACAAAGAAACACACATACTCACACACACGGGCACACACTCACACTCTCTCTCTCTCTCTCACACACACACACACACAGGCATTCAAAACAGACTCTTAGCAAAAGCCATCTGCTGCACTTTCTGCATAAAACTCCACCGTTTTACTTCATGCTGGTGACTGGGCTGTTCAATCGAAATGTGACAAGTTTCAAGCACTGTGCCCAATAGGAATGGAGCAGGATAGAAAAAGACAGACACAGAAACAGGGAGATAGGAGCAGAGGGGAGAGACAGAGAAAAGTGTAGTGAAGAGGTGGGGTGGGGAGTGCCAGAGGCAGAGTGACGGAAAAGGAGACAGAAAGAAAGAGAGAAGGAGACAGAGACAGAGAGACAAAAAAGTAGGGAGACGGAAGAGGAGATAGATGGGGAGTACAGACAGAAAGGGTTAGAAGACACAGACAAAGAGAAAGATGAGAGGAGACAGAGACAAAGGGAAGGAGGTGAGACAGAGACCAGACAGAGATGGGGAAAGACAGAAAGAGAGATGTTGAGGAGGCAGAGGGAGTGATGGAGGGGAGACAGAGAGAGAGATGGAGGGAAGATTGAAAGAGATGTAGAAAAGACAGAGAGAAGGGTGGGGGAGACAGTGAGAAAGATGGAGCAGGGAGACAGAGAGAAAGTTGCAGCAGAAGGCAGTGATAGACGGTGAGATAAATGGGGAACAATAGTGAGAAATGGGGCAAAGACATGGGTGCAAAAGGCAGGAGTGATGCAGGGGAAATAGTGAGAGAGAGAAAGAAAAAAAATACATAACTACTCAAACATAAAATCAAATGAGGGGGCACAATGCAGTGGAAAGAAATGAGCACTTCTGCCCATCCCAATAAGTTTCTGATCACTAGCTTGTCATTCTAAGGAAGGAGAGAGAATTGGTACTTGATATTTCCCAATTAGCTTGGGAGAAAGTGGGTAAAGAGGTTACAGGGAGAGGCTCCATGGGCCTATAATGATGCTCGTCCCAGGAGGGCTGTTGTCAATGGTGCGGTGATAAACACGGACAGCAAGTGGCACTCCTGTGCTCTCTTGACAGTTTCTGCCATGATCCACGATGACCAGAGGCTGAGAAGACAAATGGTGGGCTCAGTCATAAATTAAAACCAGGGGAAGTGGGATGGATGAGAGAAAAGAATCAAGAAGGGAGCTCTGATTTCATCCAGAAAATCTCCTGGCATTTTTTTGTTTAGATCCGGACGGTGTTGATTCGCAATGGCTGAACGTTTTTCCCATTGGCGTGACTCTGCCCCGGGCTAAAGTAAGGGAAAAACTTCCCGGTGAATTTCTCCCGGAAAGTGTAAAGCCAGGACATGTCATCAGCATTGTAGAAGGTCAGGAGGCCTTTGTCGTAGTCAAAATAGACGCCGACTTTCTCCAACTTGGACTTGACGTTCAGCCGGGTCCAGGGCTCGGTGCAGGCGCTGTACTGGTTCCCATCATGCATCACGATGCAATAGAAGCCTCTGGAAGGTTGGATCTGGATGCTCCCTTTCCGGTTAACGGACTCCAGCGCCACCCCAATCATCCACTGCGTTTTCTCGGACACCATCACCTCCCAGTAGTGGGCGCCGCTGTCGAAGCCGTCTGAACCCAGCACGGACACCTCGACGTCGAAGCGCTTGGGTGAGTCTTGCAATGGCTGCGGGTGGAGGTTCCCGTAAGCCACGATGGTGCAGTCGTCGGAGAGGATGAGGCGCTGGTGGGCCGTTATCGGATCCAGCGTCAGGGCCGCTGGCACTGCAAACAGGAGGGATTAAAATCATCAACATCCTTCCGAAATGCCAAGTACAAAATCACTGGGTTCTGACTCGTCTTATGTCCCCCCCCCCCACGCCTCCGGGTACATGCTCATCTCCGCTGTTTGCCGCCCTCTCTTCAAAGAACAGAAAGAGGCTTGCATTGGCATAGCGCCGTCTGCAGCACCCCCCCCACCCAGGTTTTCTTCTCAGTGAATTAAGTCTGCTCCCTGCTGTGAAGTAGGAAGCACAGCAACCAACTCGAGGATAGCAAGCTCCCACACACAGCAATGTGCCAACGAACAGATCCTCTTAAAAAGGATGCTAGCCCCGAGGTACAGTTTGATCAGGGCGATCTCTCCTCTCCTATTTAAAATAAGTGATGTCCGATTCCTTATGTTCGTAAGGGCCTCAATTTAACATCTCACCTGAAAACCAGCCCATCAGTGCTGCACTCTCTTAATACTGCAGTAGAGAATTAGCTTTGATCATGCGCCCAGAATAGGGACTTTGACCTAGAGCTTTCCTGTTTCAAAGGCGAGAATACTGCTTCTAAATTATGGCTGACAATTTGGCATTTTGACGGCAATTCAATTCTACAGCCAATCGCATCCCTCCTCTGACCACTATCCACTTGTTAAGCATGTAAACCGTTACAAGGATGTGATTACACCATCATCAGATGGTTACAGCATAGTAGCAGGCCTGCAGCTCATCGTGTCTGCTTTAGCTCTTCAAAGGAACAATTCGCCAAATTCCAATCCTGCACCTTCTCCCCATAAACCTACACATTCTTCATTTATGATCCCATTCCCTTTTGAATGCCTGTTTTGACTCTGTCTCCACCGCACCCTCAGGCCCTATTCACTCATGTCACTATTTCTTCTTTTGCTAATTGCCTTAAATCTGTGTCTATTTGTTCCCAAACCTCTCACCAACAGAAACAGTTATCCCCTTTTCTGGTTCTGTCTATACAGTTCTGCCCTGCTGTCCCTCTTGCGACTATCAAAAGTCTTCACAAAACTGATGTTGTTGACCGTTCCTTGCTTAATTCTAAGATTTGGTGGTTAACTGCCTCCACTTTTCCCTGCAAAACAGTGCAAGAGGTTTTTGCAGCAATCAAAGCACTGGAATAACAATGCACTGGGTCTGTGGTTGTCTGGGGAATACCATTTGAGGTTGATGGTGGCTAGTGTCTATGGGTGTTTGTAGCTGTTGGGGGGTGGGTGTTGAGGTTCCTTAGCGTGGAGGTTTGCAAAAGTAAATGCATGGTGGAATTTAGCTTGTGTAAATATCGATTAAAATAAAACAAAACCTCTCAGAGGCCCAATTGTGAAAAGGTGCTGCCCTACAGACCAGCAAAGTCTTTGGTTCAATCCTGAGTCTATGCTAAATTTGCAGACCTCAGCCACTGGCTGGCCAAAGCATTATTCCTCTCTGTCCTGAGTGAAACAGCCCTGCCACATTCCACATCATGGCTGACCCTTGCAAACAGTCACGTGGAACAGGTACTAGACTGTCAGTACCTAGTGAACTCCATCTTACGATAGAGTTTAGCATTTTTCATGAATGAGAAAGCAAAGAGATATCACCCAGAGTTCCTCAGATTGACATGTACAATAGTCAGGAATAGCTATGGCAGGGAGGAGACCATCCTCAGACCTGGTCAAACTTCACTTTGTTGGTAACTCACCTGGCTGAATGTCCTGAAACAAGGATTTCCAGATGGTGTACTGCAGGGGGCCCATGTACTTGGAGGTTGGAAAGTCCTCATAGGTTAAATTGGTCTCATGGATCTTTCCCTTTAACCTAGAAGAGAAAAGTCATTTTAGCAGAAAATCATTTTAGACAGAAAATGAACACCAAGTACAAAACTGGACCAAACCTGACATAATCCAACAGATAGCAAAGAACTACTTCTTAGTCTTACGGTATTCTATATCCAGAAAAGTATGAAGAGGTTTTGTAGGCCATATGTTGCTCAGACGTCAACAATCCCCTTGTGTATAACCGGACATGTTCATGCTACTGCAGAATTCATTAAATGCTAGCTTTGACCAAAGTGTTGTGAAAATGTTATAGTGGCTCCTTTGCTGAGATCTCAGAATTGTTAGTCTCTGCACTTAGGAAGCGAACCACTTGTGTGACATTGAGTGAAATAATCTTTGATGAAGAAGGGGAGGAAAGGAAAACTTTTTAAATGAACAGAGGTAGATGATGCTGAATTTTGGTTCACATGCATCAGAATAAACTCTCACCTTGTGCCTAATGGATGTGATAGGGATTGTTGAGGACTGAATGAAAAATTGCCTCAATATAATCTAACCAATGGTTGCACAAATTACAGTACTAACTTCAGGACATGCAATCTGATAAAGCAATGGATAAAACTGAGGTACCATTGACTATGTGAAAAGAAAAGTCCTGTCAACACTCACTGAGTTAGAGCTCCCTAATTTTTGAGAAGTGTGGAGTGCCAGTCCTGTTAAGTCAGCCCTACTGAACTACTAGTATAGTGCATATGCAAAGCAGAAAGTCATGAAACAACCAGATTTCACACCTCCCACTGCAAGGGAATGGCACTAGCACAAGCACTGATCTCCACCTCTAATCAGACAGTAGTGTCTGAAAACCATGATTGCAGCAGTATGGCAAGAGCTGTGTGCAGTCGCTGGAGTCTCCTGTTGTGCCCCTCAACTTCCCCCTCACCTCAAATCTCATTGGAGTATGAACTGTAGGCTATAACCAGTCATTTTTAGACACCCATGTTTCGTTAACCAGTAATTTGAATTATGTGATGCAACACACAGCAGCAAAGTGGGACAGGGTCTGCTAAATTATTGAATGAAATGACTTTGAACTTCAAGGAGTAGACCACACTGAAAACCAATTAGGGCTGACAGGTTGCAAAAAGCACCAAGTCGGAGCTGGCAGGAATTGAAACAATAAAAGGAGGCACCAGAATGTCTTCATCAAAGACTTGGGTACAGGGTCTCAGTGACAAATCTCAGGAGGTGTTCGTAGAATCCCTACAGTGCAGATGGGAACATTTGGCCCATCAAGTCTGCGCCAACCCTCTGAAGATCATCCCACCCTATTCTCAGAATCCCACATTTACCATGGCTGGTCCACTTAACCTGCATATCCCCAGAGCAATTTAGCATGGTCAATCCACCTAACCTGGACTGTGGGAGGAAACTGGAACACGTGGCAGAAAACCATGCAGACAAAGTGCAAACTCCACACATACAGTCACCCGAAGCTGGGTCCCTAGTGCTGTAAGGTAACCATTGTACCACCATGCCGCTCCTAAAACATTGCACTGTTAGACTGTCTCTGAACTGGACTAGGTGGGCTACGGGGGGAAAATAACCTCAGGAAGTGAGGACACAATGGTTTGTTAAAAATCAAAGTCCATGTATCATTGAGGGTTAAAAAACTTCAATTCTAATCAGATGGATGTAAATAAATGAGGATGCACAATGTTTTCAAGGCAAAATTCAACATTTCCAGGTATTGTTTATTTGGACACTGAGAAATGTACCACCAATTTTGCAACTGGAACTTCTGGATTTCTGCCTTCCAACTTTCATGGAATTAAACATTTTCTCCCATCTCAGGTACAGGCGAAGAAATAGTGTGAAAACTGACAATTCAACTCACAAAGTTATTATCATTTTTGCACTTCACTGTTAGGTTTTGAGCTTTTTGTAAGCTACTAGTCAGCTTTTGCCTGATTTCTGAGTAGGTATATGTTGTATGTAGAAGAGAGTTCATTTTAAGGATTGCATGTGCTCTGTGTATACACTATTAGGACTTTGCCTGACAGTCTGACATGGGTGTGCAAACTGTACATGTAGAAACTGGTTGGTTTGCTGTCATTGCTGTTTCATTACTTGTAATTTTTTTTATTATATTAAAGAAGCCAACACAACGAATGAATCAACCACCGATAAGCCATTGATTATTTGACCATAAACATTTACATGAACAGATGAACAGCCATGGAAAATATTGTGTTAATGAGGCCTTTTGTGCTTCAACAGTAAACAAGAAAGTTAATCAACATGTGAAACATATGGTCAACAGTATTAAATTGTGTTAATGTGACAGCCAACCTTGAATGTCGTCGTTAGTTGCATTTTTGGACACAGCTTGTTGTCAAGAGGCCTATTTAGTTCACTTGAGAAAAGCAAGTGATTAGGGTATGTGCTGGATTAATAACAAATGAGGAAAGGCCAAAGGTATCTTGTCAGAATGTCCACAAAATTCCTTATTTTAAATTGGGCCACAGCAAACCTTCTAACACAATATAAAGGTTTAAACAGCTTTCAGAGCAATTGTTTCTAGATTCGGCTATGTCCAGTACAGAAAAGCAAGCCATTCAGATTTGTTTAGCAATTGGGAACTAAGGTCTACACACAGGATTAACAACCAAAAAACTAAAGGTCTCCAAAAGATATGGATCACATTAGAAGGCCAGTTCAGAGTCACATTAAAACTCTCTGTTCACCGACTAGAATTTATGCTGTGTAGAGAACATTTACAGAATGCAAAGACCACTTTGTAAGCAGATCCAGTGAAAAGGCTGCATGATGAGATTTTTCAGATGGGATGCGAGAAAACATAATTGTTGAGTTAGTGGGCACATCCACCCCCACGCAAGCTTTCCAGAATGACTTCCTACACAAGTGGGAGACTTAGCACGTAAAAGAGCTGCTGAGGGAAGGAAGTAAATACGAAACGATCCTTGCAGGTCAACAAAACTCAAAGTCTCAAGTACAAATTCATCAACTGACACAATCATTGGAACACCTAATCATAGCAAGACATATGGAAGGTGAGGCCTTCTGCATGCATCAACATAATGCCCACTTCTCAATCGATTTTGCAAGGCAGGTTCTAGAAAAGGCCCATTGGCAGAGGCAGTGCTCCAGGGTAAAGAATGATGTGGCTATTAAGAGTCATGCATGACCCAAATAAGCAATGCACAAGGATACCTCTAAACTACAATAAAGACAATCTATTATCCAAACAGAGGTGTATACATGAAGTGATTGACAAATTAGAACCTGACAATATATACTATGAGCCAAAGAGTGGTGAACATAACTTTAACACTGGCAATTTGGACTACACTGTTCATAGGTAAAGGGACAACTGAAAAGTGGGAGACTTTCAAAAGTGAGATAACAAGAGTTCAGAGGCTTTATGCTCCTGTTAGAGTGAAGGGTAAGGCTGGTAAGATTAGAGAACAATGGATGATTAAAGATATTGAGGAATAAGAAAGAGGCATATGCTATGTATAGACAACTGGGATCAAGTGAATCTTTTGAAGAATATAAGGGGTCTAGGGGCATTGTTAGGAGGGAAATCAGGAGGGCAAAAAAAGGGGATATGAGATAGCCTTGGCAGATAAGGTTAAGGATAATCCAAAGAGATTCTACAAATTCATTAAGAGCAATAGAGCAACTAGGGAGACAGTTGGGCCCCTTAAAGATCAATGAGGAGGTCTATGTGTGGACCCACAGGAGATGTGAAAGATACCAAATGAATATTTGCATCAGTATTTACTGTGCAGAAAGACATGGAGGCCAGGAAACTTGGGGAAATAAATATTAACATCTTGAAAATAGTCCACATTACAGAAGAGGAGGTGCTGGAGGTCTTAATAAACATGAAGGTGGATAAATAAGTGTATCCCAGGATGTGGTGGAAAGTTTGGGAGGAAATTGCGGGGCCCCTAACAGAGATGTTTATATCATCTACAGTCATGGGTGAGGTGTCGGAGGACCGGGGCAGTGGGGTCGGGGGTGGGGAAGTGTGGCGAGGCTAATTTTGTGCCGTTTTCCATGAAAGGCTGCAAAGAGAAGCCTGGGAAATACAGACTGATGACTCTGACATTAATGGTGAGTAAGTTGTTAGAGAAGTTTCTCGAGAGATAGGATTTACGTGCATTTGGAGAGACAAGGACTGATTAGAGATTGTCAGCACAGGATATCGTGTCTCGCAAACTTGATTGAGTTTTTTGAGGATGTCACTAAAATGATTGATGAGGACAGAGAGGTAGACATTGTTTTTTTGTGTGCGAACTTTTTTCATATCTTCCTGTAAGCTGGCAATTTTTTCATTGAATTAAATATACTGAGTTTGAAGTTCATTCTGCTTCTGTTCTTTCTTCCTACTCTTAATTCATTTTTTTGAGCTGAATGGAGGTTATCCCTAAAGAGTTCAACTCAGTGACTGTTCTTACATTTGGATTTGTTAAAGCAACTAGTGAGACAGTTGGGCCCCTTAAAGATCAATGAGGTGTTTGGTAAAGCCTTTGACAAGGTTCTGCATGATAGACTAATTAATAAAGTTAGAGCGCATGGGGTTCAGGGAGATACAAAATTGGCTTGATGGTAGGAGACAGAGGGTGTGGTGGAAGGTTGTTTTTCGGACAGGAGGCCTGTGACCAGCCATGTTCTGCAGGCATCAGTGCTAGGTTTACTATTGTTTGTCATTTATATAAACAATTTGGTGCGAATTTAGGAGACATGGCTAGTAAGTTTGCAGATTACACCAAAATTGAAGGTAATCTAAGATTACAAAGGGATCTTGATCAATTGGACCAATGGACTGAGCAGTGGCAGATGGAGTTTAATTGGGATAAATGCAAGGTAATGCATTTATTGCATCAAATAAGGGCAGGACTTATACTGTTAATGGTCAGGCTCTGAGTAGTGTCGTGGAACAGAGAGACCTAGGGGTACTGGTACATAGTACTTTGAAACTTCAAAACATCAGAGAGACATAACAGAAACTGCAGCACACTCCCTAAGAAATACATGCACATCTAAATATAACGGACAAAGAAAACACTTCACTGTCTTCCAAATTACTGGAGATAAAATCGTAGCCCTCTGCTGTGGAGAGAAAAGTGAAAGTCAAGAGGAAATGGCTGAAAAATCATCTCAAGCTAAATCCAAATGTAAGAACAATCACTGAGTGGGCTCTTTAAGGATAACCTCCGTTCAGCTCAAAAGAAATGAATTAAGAGAAGGAAGAAAGAACAGAAGCAGAATGAACTTCAAGCTCAGTACAATCAATTTAATGAACAAGTTACCAGCTTACAGGAAGATATGAAAAAAGACTCGCACACAAAAACACAGGCTCAGCAGGAGGAACTACAAGCACATCAGCTTGAGCTCACAGCAATGCTAGAGAAAATAACAGGCCTTCAAAAACAGGTCGAGATGCAAAGCACACACAACAATGAGTTGCAAATCTCTCATGAGACGTGCCTTTCAGAAATAAACTCCAGCAATAATGCTCTAGGGAAAGAACTCAAACAGCACACTGAGAAAACCAAACAACCACTGACGCAGCAAGTGGAAGAGATCCAGGCTTCAAACAAACAAAGTCTGGGGAGACTGGACGGTTATTTGAGCAGGTTATGAAAACCGAACCAACAGAAGGCTTTGACAGAAATTAGAAAAATCCATGGAATAAAACCAGAGCTTCAAACTGAGCTACTATGACCAAACAGTAAATGCCAGGAAGATTTGATCTATTTGGAATTAGATCCATTAGTGGCTAATCTGGGAGAAAACTTGACAGCAATGGACCAGGATAAGTAAGTTCTGGGCCAGTAACTGCAGCCCATGAAAGAAAACTTTGACAGTGCAATTAGAAATGACAAGCAATATCAATGATGACTGGAAATCAGTGGGACTGCCAAACAAAGTCACCATTATGAGGTCTCGACAGATCGGCAAATTAACAATTCATTGGAGACACATAGGCTCGCTTGTATTTGTAAATAGTTAAAGTTTCACTGGGAAAGAAGGGTATCTTGTATATGTACCTTGCCTTTAAAAGAATTCACCATTAAGATCTGTGTGTGGTGTGTGTTATGCAATGTTGTGACTCTGCCTGGCGGTTAGTCTGCTGGTGGTTTGCACACTACACATACACAAATCAAGTGGTTTGCTACTACAACTTTCACAACTTGTAATGTGTTTCAAGTAAACCATTGCACAGAGTTAATGAACCCCAGATGAGTGATGGATTTTAGGAGCATTACATTAAACATAATGGTGTTCAAGAAGGTTTACTCAGTCTCTAAGGTTAAAGAATCCATACAGTGTGGAAACAGGCCATTCGACCCATCAAGTCTACACTGTACTGGTGGCACAGTAATAACATCACTGGACTAGTAATCACAAGGCGCAAGCTAATGCCCTGAAAGCAAGGGTTTAAATCCCACTTTGCCATTTAGAATTTAAATTTAATTATTAATCCGTACATATTGCTAGCCTCAATAATGACCATGAGAGCTACCATTGGTTATTGCACAACATGGCTCTATAGTACCCTGTCAGGAAGGGAATCTGCCATCCTTGCCAGAACTGGCCTAGACGTGACTCAATGTGGTCTACTCTTAACAGTTCAAGGGCTATTTAGGATGAGCAACAAATACTGGACTTGAAAATTATAGTCACATCCCATGGCAGAAATTTCTATTAAAATGAAATGATTGTCCTTATATTCACTCTATGGATGGGGTTATCTTTGCCTTTCATTTGATTACTGATCACGGGAAAATTAGGAAGGCAGTGCACAATGAATGATGTTCCATGCAGCAGTGCAATGCAGCCTTCCTGGCAATGGCCCTGAAGCAAGAAATTGGTTGGGAATGGGTCAGTATTAAGTGTTTTAAATGCTTGCCTTCATTGCTCAGATCTTTGAGTGTAGGAGTTAGGATGTTATGTTGAGGTTGTACAGGACGTTAGTGAGGCCTCTTCTGGAATACTGTATACATTCTAGTCTCCCCTTTATAGCAAGGATATTATTAAGCTGGAGAGAGTTCAGAACAGATTTACCAGGATGTTGCCAGGAATTAAGGGTTTGAGTTATAAGGAGAGGCTGGATAGGCTGGGACTTTTTTCACTGGAGCATAGGAGGTTGAGAGGTGACCTTATCGAGGTTAATAAAATCATGAGGGGTTCAGATAAGGTGAATGGCATATGTCTTTTTCCTAGGGTGGGGATTTCAAAACCAGGAAGCATATTTTAAGGTGAGAGGAGAAAGATTTTAAAAAGACATGAGGAGCAATTTCTTTTTAACACAGAGGGTGGTTCATGTGTGGAATGAACTTCCAGAGGAAGTGGTGGATACGGATACAGTTATAAAGTTTGAAAGACATTTAGATCAGTACACGAATCGGAAATGTTTGTAGGGATATGGGCCAAGTGCAGGCAGGTGGGACTAGCTTAGTTTGGAATTATGGACTGGTTGGACCAAAGGGTCTTTTTCCATGCTGTATGAGTCTATGACTTGGAAAATACAATGGAAATGTAAGACACAGGCAGGACTTGCACATCCTTTACTGGTCCACTTTAACTCAAATATACCACATAATGAATGGTTATTGTATACTCTACCTCTCCAAAGTTGTGTTGATTCCTTCTAAGAAGATTAGCTTGTCTGCTTCAACAAGCTTCTCCTGCAGGATCTGCATCCCTTCCTGCACCTCACGCAATTGGTGGCTGTATCTCTGGATCTTCTGTTCAATGTCATTCAGGGTGCGGGCTGTGTCGGTCTCCAACTCTTCCAGCATTGACTTCTGTTTCTCCTTCAAGAAACGGTGCAGACGGTCAAAGGCTTCTGCAATGGTTGCTCGAAGACTCTTCGCAGAAGACTGAGCGAAATAGAAGCAAACAGAAGAGAAATCTAAACCAAGGAAACATCAACTACTCTTCCCACTCACAAAACCAGAATATATCAGTTATCTCATACTGCCATCATTTGACTGATACTTTGGGGAACAGTCTAACAATTATTTCTGTCGGCTTTTTTAAAAAAATTAATTCCTAGGATATAGGGTGTCACTGGCTAGGTCAGCATTTTATTCACCAGCTGTAATTGGGCGAGGGTAGTTAAGAATCAACCACATTGCTGTGGGTCTGTAGTCACATGGTGACTAGACCACTAAAGGTCAACAGGATATTAGTGAAATCCCAGATGGGTTTTTACAATAACCGACAATGGTCACCATTAGGCCAATTCTTTAATCTAAATTTTTTACTCTTGAGTTCAAATTCACCCTCTGCTATGATGGGTTTCAAACCCGTGCCCCTAGAAATTAGCCTGGGGTTCTGGATTACTCATCCAATGACATTACACAACTTCGTCTCATTCCAAAATTCTATTTCTTGAAAGTGCCTATCTATACAATTTCCTTGTTGGATCCTTTTCATCTCCTCCACTTTCACCACCCCTTGTAAGCAGTGAGCTCCTAATCACTCATTGCATTAAAAAGTTTTCCCTCACACATTCATGGTCTTCTTGCCTAAAGCCTTAAATCTGTGTCCCCCTAACTCTTGTGCCATCGCCATATAGGAGCAGTTTTACTTTATCTACCTTACCTAAACTTGTCAGAATCTTGTACACTTATCAAAAATTTCCCCTCCACCTCCCTTGTGTCAAGGAGAATAATATCTGTCATTTATGCTGTGACATATTCATTAAAACTGTTCAACTACTGCACAATTGGAGAAGACACTGACAATTGTCAATCTGATGAGAGACAGAAACAGAGTCCGATTCTTTCCTTTCACAAATGGCAATCTGAAGAGTAAGACGCTGCCAAGCAGAACCCATTATCTGTTCCAATGGGATTGTGTGCGAAATAAAATAAAAGACTAATTTCCTATAGCTTCCTAGCAACCAGTTTCAGGAGACACCTGCAACAGCTTTGTGGCAGTCAAGCAAAGAAACCAACTTTCTGGGGATACCCATAGTGAAGATATTACACACCCATGTGCACATGCGCACACATACACAGACACACACACACACACACACACACAGTGACCCTCAAGGTGTTAACCTGACAGCACAATGTGGAGGAATCCAACCTGCTGTTCCAAGTCACTGCAACCACTCACAGAGACTTGCCCCAACAAGAGGTAGACAGCAGTTACACAAAAAAGCGCATAGCTCCTTTTTCCTTTTGGCTCATGTACAAGCCAGATATCCTGGCTTGTCCGACTATGTATGAGTCACAGACATCTGGAAGTCCCGACTTTAATCTCTGGTTTGTGCTGAGTCAACTGATTTCAGTTGGAACTGTTGGAACACTATAGTTAACTTCCATTCACCTATACTAGGAAGTAAAGGGCCAGCAGTGGAAAATCACCCAGGTATCCTGCTTCTGGTTGCTATGCAGTGATCCCCTACTGGACGGTAGGTTTTGCAGTCTTTGGTTAAAGATATGTAAGGATTCATTTGTGATTCAGTTGCTGTAACGACTGGCCATTAGGAAAAGGTACTTATCGAACTACATTTGGGAAGATAATAAATTGGAAGGCCAGGAAGACACAAAAAAATCAAACTCTAGGATAAAAAGCCTGTTTCCAGAACTCCACCGCTCTTTCTGTGGAATCTGTACGTGCTGTTCCAGACTATTCAAATTATCTAAAATCCAATTCAACCTCTGCTGACTGATGTTTCGTGTTATGCACTAGGTGGCAGTATCACAGACTCTATATGGTCACTGTTCTTCCCATTTTCTCTCGTCTTTCTCATGAAGGCACTGAAACAGAATATGACTGTAGGCCATTCAAGTAGATTATAACTGATTGTACCTCATCTGCAATTACCAACATTTGCCAATGAAAACTTACCTAATGAAAATCTATCAAATCATGTTGCGATCCATAAACATTAGTCATCCTGCCCAGCTGCATTCTTCATGTACAAGGTTAGTTGGTTATTGTAGACAAGAATTTTTGACAGAATGAGCAGGTTGTCTTATGAGAAAAGGTTGGGCAGGCTAGGCTCATATCTACTGGGAGTTTAGAAGTTTAGACAGAAGTGACTTCATTGAAATATTTAAGATCTTGAGTGATCTTGGCAGGGTGGATGCAGGAGAAGAGATATCCTCTTTATATAATCCCTACACTGTGGCAACAAACCATACGGCCCAACAAATCCACACCGACCCTCTGAAAAGCATCCCACCCAGTCCCATCCCCCTAACCCTGCATTACCTGTGGCTAATGCACCAAACCTACACATCACTGGACACTATGGGCAATTTAGCATGGCCAATCCATCTAACCTGCACATCTTTAGACTGTTGGAAGAAGCCGGAGCACCCGGTGGAAACTCACGCAGACACGGGGAGAATGTGCAAACTCCACACAGATAGTCACCTGAGGCTGGAATTGGACCTGGGTCCCTGGCACTGTGAGGCAGCAGTGCTAACCACTGAGCCTCCGTGCTAACCACTGAGCCTCAGTGCTGCCCTTTTAATGGAGAATCTAGAACTACAGGCCACTGTCTTAAAATAAGGGATCACCCAGATGAGAGAGAGATGAGAAGAATTCCCTTCTCTCAGAGGGTCGAGAGTCTTTAGAACTGTCTTCCTGAAAAGGCAGTGGAAGTTTAACATTATTAAGGCAAAGTTGGACACATCATCAGTAAGCAAGTGAGTTAAAGGTTATCAGGAGTAGGTGGGAACCTGGAACAATTAGATCAGCTGTGATCCTATGGTGCAACTGGCTCAAGGGACCAAGTGGCCTATTCCTGTTCCTAATCAATGCGTTCATATGACCACACACAGACACAGATTGGTAACAGCACAGAAGGATGCCACACAGAGGAGGTCATAAAAGTAAGGATGTTGAATTTCAACCATACAGGGCTTTGATGAGATCATTTATTGAATGGGGTGTACAGTTTTGATTTCCTCAGTAAAGGAAGAAGTAAATGCATCTTACGTGGTTCAGAGGGTATTAGATTAATACCTGGAATGAATGGGTTTTCTTATGAGTTGTACAAACTGGGCTGGTTTTCACTAGAGTTTAGAAGAATGAGGATGACTTGTTGGAAGTCTATAGGTTCCTAATATCTTGATAAAATGGATGTGTGAATGATTTTTCAGCTTGTGGGTGAGTCTAGAACCAGGGCTACTGTTATAAAATGAGGGATCGCCATTTCAGGATAGAGATGAGGAGAATTTTCTTTCTCCCAATGGGCTGTGCAACTTTCGAACTCTCTGCCTCATAAGGTGGTGGAGACAGCCTCCTTGAATTTATTTAGGACAGATGTATAGATTCTTGATAGACGAGCAAATAAAGGATTGTCAAGCATTGATAGGAATGTGGAATTTGAAACACAAACGGATCAGTCATCATCTTACTGAACGCCAGAGAAGGCGCGAGGGAACAAATGGCTTATTTCCATTTCGTACGCTCATTCAGCCCGTCATGATCAAACTAGCATTCAACAGCAATTCAGCCAGTCCCATTCCTCGCCTTTTTTCCTGCAACTTTTTTTTTTCTCTTTTCAGAGGATTGTCCAGTTCATTTTGAAAGCCACGGCCTAACCAGCCTGCACGTCCATCACAAACCAAGCCTTCTTTTTCCTAACTTCTTACTGCCCTCTGGTGCGGAGCAGAGGAGTAATAGTGGAGAAGGGCTTGAGAGGAGAGGAGCAGCTTTAGGCCGTAATGCTACCCCACCACATTTGGATACCCCACAGCGGACCTCTGTTCTTTATGCCTAGGCCAAGACAAACAATTGGGAGCTGCCATTTGGAAACCACAGTCTTTAGACTGCCACTCATTGCAGGGTCACCCTCTTCAGAAAAGCAGTAAAGATTATTTGCATGGAGGTAATTTGTATGCAACATGTACAGTCTCTGTAAAACAGAACAGTCCTCACCACAAATACATATCTGCAGCATTCTGAATTGTAACTAATGAACAGTGAAGAAACTGACCTGGCCCAAAGTAGGAGTATAGAGTATTGTAGAAGAGATAAAGATTATTAAAACACCGACTTACATAATCACTGTTTCACAAGAAGAACTTGGTCTCCGAATAACTTTATCCCCCAGTCTTCACCAGAAGTTTCCCGCTCTTTTTGGTTTCTGGTTCTGAAAATGTTGGGAATCACCTGGTACCTAACCCTAACAGGGCATTAGATGGGAATCTAATTTGAAAAAAGGAGCATTGGCAGTTTACTTGATTACATGAGGAAACTCAGAGAAACCAATTTCTCTCCTCAGCCAAAGTCCTCACACATGGGCTCTTCAGCAAGCACTACTCAATCATTGTCAAGTGCAAGAAATTGACCAAATTCCTCCTCTCTACTCCAAAATGCTAACGTTAATTGTAAAATTCCAGGCATCATCCCAAGAGATACAACGACCTAATATGGACAAAGGATTGAACCCAAACCTTCTCAATCAACTCCGCATTCATCAAGTGAGCCTCAGACATACTTTGGTAGTTTCAGCATTTCTTAATAAGGTCACAATGGCATCAAACATCTGCAACAACCAATACTAAAAGCAGAAGCAAGATCACATTTCTGCTTCTCTTCAGCTCTGAAGAAGAATCATAGTCAAAATGTTAACTTGGTTTCTCTCTCCATTGAACCTGTTGAATTTCTCCAGCACACTGTTTTTATTTCAGGTTTCCAGCATCTGCTGTACTTTGCTTTTGGCCCTTCAAAGACGAAGTTGGTAAGATATTGTTTGAAAGGGATGAAACATGAAAAAGATGGACAGAATACATGTGAATTGTACAATGATGGAAATTAAGGGAGTTCTCAAGATTTTGAGGCAACTGATGAATCAGACAGAAAGAATGCTTTGAAATTGATGGGCACAGGAAAAGCTCCAGGCATAGAAGAAGTAACAATAGAACATCTAAAAGTATTTGGAGAAACGATGTTAGATGTGTTAACAGAAATTTGTGATCAAATGTATACCAAAGGATATATTCTAAGTAACTTGAGAAATTCATTATTTTAGTCACCAAGAACCCTGAAGCAATGGAATGCAATAATTTTACATCAAAAAGTTTAATGAGTCATCTCATTAAAAATGATATTGGAAATTATAATAACAAAAACCAATAACATACTAGAAGCAGAAATTGGTGAAGTGCACTCTGGATTTAGACCTGGCGTAGGGGAAGAGAACAATGTAAACAAAGAACAGTGGCTCAGTGGTTAACATTGCTACCTCACATTGCTTAAAGATCCAGGTTCAATTCCAGCCTTGGATGACTGTCTGTGTGGAGTTTGCCCATTCTCCTTGTGTATGTGTGGGTTTTCTCCCACAGTCCAAAGGCGTGCAGGTTAGTTGAATTGGGCATGCTAAATTGACCATGATGTACAGGGTAAATGGAATAGCCATGGGAAATGCAGGGTTACAGGGATAGGGTTGGTACAGACTTGATGGCCTGTTCTGCTATGTAGGGATTCTAGGACACAGTACATCATCTAGATTGACTCCCCAGTGAATTATCTGAGAGATGATAAACTATCTTTCAAGTGTGAAACTAAATTAAATATTCCTTTTCAAATAGATATTAAAAACACCACAAAAAATATTCGGTTCCTCTCAATGTCTTGGCCAATATTCATCCCTCTGGCACCAGTATAATAAAAGTGCTCATTCATCTCCAATCAAATGGACTGTTCAGCGTATTTTTGTCAATAGAAAGACAATCCGTGACTGGATCCTATTGTGACCTCGGGAAAAACAATACTTTTGAAGGGCAGTCCCTGTTGAAATTGTTCAAACCACATTCAAAGTCCCACAAACAGCAAGGAGATAATGATGAGATCATCTTCTTCAGGGTCAATGGGCAAATGATAGCCAAGAGACCAAAGAGGACTCCAGAGAAACAATACCAGGAATTGTTATGTCCATCTGATAGGACTTCAGGTTAACAGTTCATCTGACAGACAGTATCTCTGGCAGCGTGACACTTGGCACTACACTGGGGTTTCAGATTAAGTTTTGTATTCTGGTGTGGGACAATGACCAACAGACTTCTGATTTACAGTTAAGTGTAAAACCACAGAGCTGGAACTGACACTTAGTTAAGGATCTCAGTCATGTGATATATGGCAAAGACAAAGAATTTGGACGTCAGATCTGCAAATACCCTAAACAAGTGCCTGAACTGACTGGAGGATTTGAATGACCTCCACCTGATCCTGTTTGAATTGTTATCTGCAGTTTGTGAGCACAGTGTAACTGTTGAGATTGCCTGCAAACCAGCAATGATTGTCCATCATAAAGAGAAACTCATATGGTGCTAAGTGTTTTGTAATGGCATTTAATAAGGTGCCATATAAATACAAGTGCATGAATTTGCAAGGCACTCATGGAACTCCTACAGGGCAGATAGAGGCCATTCAGCCCATCAAGCCATAGAAGAGTATCTCACCCAGAACCAGCACCACCACCCAATCCATGTAACCTCACATTTCCCATGGCTAATCTACCTAGCCTACACATCCCTGGGCACTGTGAGGAAATTTAACATGGCCAATCCACCTAACCTGCACATCTTTCAACTGTGGGAGCAAACTGGAGCACCCGAAGGAAACCCATGCAGAGAACATGCAAACTGCACACAGACTGTCACCTGAGGCTGGAACTGAACCCAGTTCCTTGGCATTATGAGGCAGCAGTGCTAACCATTGAGCCACCGTGCTGCTCCATCCAAAATACTGCAATGTATTGCCTCTGGTTTGAGAGGACAGTTGTGGTTGCAGAGGTCTGAAGTCTCAGGAGATGATGAGAGAAAATTGGAAGTGAAAATGTATTTTTTCACGTTTACCTTTGTCTCCGAGAGCTGCCGTTTGAGTAGTTGCAGAGCCTTCACATGTCTATGCTCACTGTCCTGCAAAACCTCGTATTGATCCTTCAGTTCCCTCTGCAATTGAAAAAAAAATGCAAATATGTTTGATTGGCTGATAGACAATACTGCCAGGGCAAGTTGGACTGGGAGTTTCTGATCCTGACATAACGCTGTCAATTTTGGACAAAGGCAGCTGAAGTGACATGACTCCATCATCCACCCAATACATCCCCTTCAGAAACCATTAACTGTTCAGCTTAATGACTTTCTCCTGCTCTCTCACTCAGTAAAGTCTTAGAGAAGAACATTTAAGGTTGGATATTCCAGAATTTGGTAGCTGCACTGAAATGTATGTGCAACAAATCATTAGATGAAGTGGCAAAAGCAATAATCTAGACAACTGGCTTCTCCTTGCGTTTCACAGCTTTGTATAGGGTGGGAGAAACATCCAAGAGGGCAGGGCAGATGTTAAGCAGGAAGTGCTCAGAGCTGCAGACAGCAGAGGAAGCAATGCCAGATTTGCTGGCCTGGTGCCTAGCTCCAAAGAATCCCCGCAGGGAGTCGAGAAGCTGGGGAGAGAGGCTCTTCCAACCCTGAAGAAACACAGAGATGGGAGGAAGTGGTTGAATGTAATATCCAGCAGCTAAAAGGAGCAAGAGGGACATTAGAAAAGAAATTGCTAAACTTGAAGACCTTGGGTATCTAAACTAACTGCTTTGTTACAGATCAGGCACCAACATATTTGCAAATGCTAAAAACCAGTTCTACTCTCTAATAGTTTAATCATTTAAGGCTGAATGACATTAAAAAGAGAGACTAGGTTACCTAGATACAATCCTGCAATGACACAGCCAAGTTTGTATATACTTTGACTAACTGCGGACATGCAGATGTGCTGACATCTATAAATTGGAGATTAGCACAGCAGCAGTTAGGGCTTCGCACAAGGAATACATAATCTTACATCATTCGGTTTGTAAAAATAATGGCTTGTTGTTATTTCGCACTTTTCACAAGCTTGGGGCAGGCCAAACTGCTTTCAACCAATGAGTTTTTGAAGTAATTGTTGGAATATAGGAAACACAGCAACCAATTTGTGCACTGCAAGCTCCCACAAACAGAATGTGTGTCACTGATCAGATAATCTGTTATTGTTGGTCAAAGGATAACTATTATCCAGGAGAGAAGAGAAACCTCCTCTGCTCTTTCTTGTCTACCTGAAAGGGCAGACAAGACCCTCGACACCTCTAACAGAGCAGCACCATCTCAGTACTGCACAGAAGTTTTAACCTGGAAATTATGCTGATGTCTCTGGTATATGTGTCCTCATTTTAGATCTGGCAGTATATGTACCTGAAATTGCATGGCACGGGTTCCATGTAATTTCAACCCCACCCTATTCTGCAAGATTACAGAACAACCAACCACCTCTCCCACCATTCCAGAAAAGATTTACCAGGACGTTGCAGGAACTGGAGGACTCGAGATATAAAAATAGACTGGAAATGTCAGGACTTTTCTCACTGGAGTATAAGAGGTTGAGATTGACCTTATTATCATGAGGGGTACAGATTTTCCCTGGGGGGGAGTTCAAAACAAGGGGGCATACTTCTAAGGTGAGAGGAGAATGATATATAAAGGACAGTGAGGGGCAACATTTTTTACACAGAGAGTGGTTCGTGTGTGGAATGAACTGCCAGAGAAAGTGGTAGATGCAGGTACAGTTACAAAGTTTCAAAGACATTTGGATAAGTACATGAATGGAAAAGATTTGGAGGGATATGGGCCAAGCACAGACAGGTGGGACTAGTTTAGTCTGGGAACATGGTTGGCATGGACTAGTGGGACCGAAGGGGTATGTTTCCGTGCTACATGATTCAAAAAAGATGTTTCTCAATTATGAATAACAAACATGAAACTGGAGGTGGTCCACAGCAGTTTAAATTACTAATTTCTCTTAAAATGCTTTGATGACATCTCAGCCTTTTCTTAAAACTGGGAAATTGAAACCTTGAAGTTTAAATCCCCAGCTCAGGGCCAACAACATAACTTCCAGACAGGTAGAGTCCCATCTGATAGAAGCAGTTCTCAAGGATGATTATTTAAAATTGATTTTGTGATCCTTTTTTGCCTACTGAAGAATGGAAAAACAGATTGTAGCTACAGTGCTGACCCCAAGCAAACCAGCACCAACACCATTTCCTGCGTCACTATTACACTCTGCATTAAGCATCAGAGTAGGTTGGCAAACTCTGGGCTTTCCAAGTAGGAAGATGAAGGAGATTGCACACTGAGGGTACAGTTTAATCCAAGTGAGAATGGACTCATCTACTGACTATTAAGCCAGTGAGAGAAGGAGCTTCAGTCACCTCCTCTGGGGAAGGCCCACTGTATCAAGTGTCCGTCAGGAACAGGGGCCCTGGAGGCAGAAATCCCAAGAGCTGTCGGACGGTCAGAGGTCAGCAGCTCTTCATTGCAGGCAACACCACGACAGGAATGGTACTATCTGCCAGTATTGCACTCACCAAAAGCCAGTGTATCAGAAAAGGGCCTAGGCCCCAGGTGATGGAAGGTGGGGTGGTGTCATGGAAATTTGGGAGGAGGGGGAAATCGTTGGCTGGTGGGGGTGGCTCCCAACAGCATCCCCTTCTTGAGGCCAGCTCCCTTGACCTGGCAACACTGCCAATCCTGCCCTTGAAGCCACTAAGCTTTATCTCATCCCTTCATCATGACTGTCGCAATGTCACTAGTTGAATATAAGTGGTGGCTGGACGAGGTCCTTAAGTGGGCATTAATTGAGGGCCTCAATTGGCACAGGGCAGGGAGGCCAGCCTGAATTTAAGTTAGGGTCATCGCTATCGCTCCCCCAACCATGCCACCTAATTAAATAGTCCCAACCTCCAAACATTTCTCATGGTGTCGTTATTAAGTTCCACTAAAGTGCATTGTGGGGAATGGGCAAGGAGCAACAGTGGGGGATGATTTATTCCTGTGAAGGAATAGGGGTAGTCACGGTGCTGTAAAGGCATTATGTTTCCTTCTTATTCCTGAATAACTTTGGTCACTGTTTCCATGAACCCATTCCCAGTTACATTGGCAATCTTCTTCTCCCCACCATTGGGCCACATTGGCACTCCTCAGCTCCCTCTTATGATGTACACAGTTCTCCCTCAGATCCTGGAGCATTCTTCTCTCCTTCCCTGGTAACATGGCCTTGTGTCGCTACCTGCTATTTGTGGTTTCCACCTGTGTCTGTTCCTTATGGCTGGATGTCTGTTGTGTGTTATCGAGTTGAAATTCCTTATACTGCAAAACTATTTGCAAAAATTACCCTCCCCACAGAGCAATTTGCATTCCGTGAGCAGAAGCATTACAGCAGGAGCCAATTTTTATCTGCAAACACTAAATACACAATTACTTCAAAATACAGACTGTAATATGAATGTGTGAGATTTATCAAACAATATGTAAGTGTGACTTTTAACCATGGTCTGTGCACTGAGATAGCTACACATGCCTGTGATATAATCAAGACATGACATATGTACAGATGCATACACAGCCTGTCCTACCAACTCCCACTCACAGCTGGATACTGCAGTGTTGTCACTTGGGGAAGATAAGGTTGGCATTCCTCAAAGGGTGAGATTAGAAGGAATCATCATTTCTGGCTCAGAAAGGAATTTGATTAATTCTGGAGAGAGTGGGATGAACTATATAAGATCATTTCATGTTTTCTTTAAAAAGAAGGAAAACACATTGATAATTGCAGACTTTATGAGGCATTCTTCAACCCGAAAGTACCAAATAGAATGGCAAAGGCCAAGATATTTTGCTTCTCAGCCTCCATTCTTTGGGGCAAACACTTTCCTAAGTCTCCAACGTAACAGGCAGAAACCAAGCATTCGCTGCAAGTCAGAAATGCTCAGTTTGTCTTGTCGATAAAGGCACAAGAATGGTCATTGTTACACTGGCCTAGTGTAAATGTAGCTGGACCTCAAAATTCAGAGACCCAGGTATGTTCTGGGGACATGGTCTCAAATTTGAATAATCTGCAATTAAAGTCTGATGATGACCAGGAAACCACTGTCAGTTTTCATAAAAACACAACTGGTTCATTAATGCTTTTTAGAGAAGAAACCTGCTGTCCTTACATGTGACTCCAAACCCACATTAATGTTGTCGCTTAAACAAAGGGCTCTTGTGGCACAGTGGTAGTGTCCCTACCTCTGGGCCAGAAGGCCTGCACTCATTGCTCCAGAAGTGTGTCATAATACATCTGAAAAATTTGATTAAAGACATCAACAATGAAAACCGGAGTTTGAACTTTTCTATATGCAAATACCAAGATCTAGTATCCATCTGGAACCTTCAGTAAAAAATGAACGTGGTGTCCTCTGTAATTAGTAAAACGAGGCCTGAACAAGAAGGCTGCATATGAGAGCACAACCAACAACTCATTTCAAATGTAATAACCCTAATATAGAGCTGGGAGAGATGGAAAGCTCCTCTTCATCTTACATTTGAAGATCAGGTCACTGAAGCTGGCCATTGCTCAGATTGCTACCCATGGTAACTCACAATTCAACATTGTGCCAGAAATGAGCTCCAGATCCAATACTTAGGATGCCTCCAGCCTCACCATTTAGTGATTGACCATTGCTTCCCCAACACTCACCCTCACACATCCCAGACTGCCTCCCTTGAATTTTCACCTTTTTCCTGTTACGTCAGTAAGTGCAGAGGTCTGTGTGGATGGCAGTGTGGACCGCCAATGCCAACAATGAATCCAGGCATTTGAAAGAAACCTTTAACGTAGTAAAACGTCTGATGATGTTTCACCTGGAGAGGGAGTGGCAAAGGATTCAAGACAGAGAGGGAACGAGTGGTTGAGTATTTCAGAGGATGAGGTGATGACAATAGCTAAAAGGTGTGAAAAAAGACACGGATGGGAGAGGTGCATGATGGGGGAATTAGGAAAGTGGTGAGGCATAGAGAAGACATATGGCAAATAATCTGTCACAATTTTGTCTCCAGAATAGGGAAAGGACCAAAATAAACCTATCTGTCCCACT